ATAACGCACGTCAGGTCAAATATATGCACGGCTGTGCAAAACCATTTTACGGAGTTGCAAAACGGCACATGTATGTAAAAAATAATATTTTGCTTGCACAGAGGCTCGCATAATTTATGTTTATTAAACTTGTTCAGTATTGAAGAACCTACACTCATTCAATATTTTCTATTTACTTTTTCGAAAACGCCGTCATTAAAACGTCCAGGAAAAGGTGCTTTCAAAACAACAAATATAAAAAAATTACAAAAGAAACCGAACATAAAACAAGGTATAATGTGCTATCTTGTAGACTTTTTCAGTTCTTTAAAAACAAATTTCAAATATAAAATACTTAAAATATATATTTATCTATCCAAATGTATGCTTACAAAGACTGAACGGTGGTTTAACCAAAACGGTTTCTATACGGTCAATTTTATGTACCTTGCTTCTATACGAGAAAGCGCTGTCGGACCGTATATGTTGCGACACTTATATGTCACACGTGTGGGACATATTCGGCTCGTCTTATACGTGTCTGCAATTTGGTAGTAAATGCCTGACCGTATATGTCACACATTTTACACAGTAAACTAGAATTATCATCATCGTTTTAACCTATCTTCAGCAACGTTGATACTGCATCATCATCAACAACAACTACAACAACAACATCATCATCATCATCTAAATCAGCGCTATATTTGTTTAAGTCCACGCCGCCTATCATTTTACCAGTAAGATGACTTCTGTTGCAATACACAGTAAAAAGATGTAATAAATATTTTGGACATTATGGGAACTGTTTACTTGTCCGTGCGCCTGTGACCGAGTACGTGCGTAACTCGTGAGCCCAACTCGAGTCACGACTATGTTTCCTCATTTGACACCAGTACTGGTTAGTTCCAGGAAGCGGACTCTAAAATTGATTAATTAAAGTTGAAATAACGTGTTTCGCAATCGAGCATAAATAAATATGTTTACACTAATAACTTGTACTAGATTAGCTAAGGGCCCTGAAATTATTTTATTCAAGCAGCAAGCAATATACAAACAACATTTTAGTGCAAGACGAAAATATAGTCTTGTTAACAGTGATATTGCTTGCAGTACAATACTCATGAAATAGTTTTGCGCTTATATGGTAAAATATTTGTTTATTATACACTCTAAAAAACGGTGAAATATTTATTTTTATACACTTATAAAAGAAAACGGTGAACTATTTGTTTACTTTACACTTGTGATGATGATGATGCTGCTGATGGTGATAAAGGTGATGAAGATGGCGGTTTCCGTCATAATGTTATTTTTTAGCTCGACTATTCGATAAGAATAAGTAGAGCTATTGTAGTCACCCGAGCGTCGGCGTCGGCGTAACCACTTATGTTAAGATTTTTGTAATACCTCAAATATTTTCAAAGTCCATTGACATATGTCTTTGAAACTTTGCACACTTGTTCACCATCATGACCCCAACCTGTAGACAGGAGGAGGTAACTGTATCAAGCATTTTTTTTTACTATCAAGCACTAAGAATAGTCGAGCGTTGCTGTCCTACCGACAGCTCTTGTTTTATTTTCAATCATTTTTTTAATAAACGATATTGTGCAAAACGAACTTATTAAGTTTGTTTAATTGTCACACCGGCACATTATAGGCCATATGGCGACATTCCAGCGAAGACCTCATGTGCCCTTTCGTGCATTATTTCAGGCATGAACGGGCACCTGAGTAGAACCACCGACGTTCCGTAAGCTAGCTGGATAGCTTCCTCACATGACGAACTTATTTAAGTACAAATCCACATGTGACGCATACGCGTTGGTATTTTCATTTTTATGCGCATTTTTTGTTAATTGACAAATACGTTTTGGTGAGCATAGAAAAACTCAATCCAAACAAATATGGCACATTTTATGTTCAATTTTCGACTGAAGAGTGTGCCATATTTGAACGAATATGTCACACGTGTGACAAATTCGAACCGAAGTTATTACACGTGTGCAATATTCGATCAGTGACATATACGCGCGGTCCGACAAAGTGCTGCTTTCTGTAGAATTATCATGAACATGGAGGCAACCGATGGAAAAAGTCTGCAGATTTGTATGTCTTTAAAAGCTGGTTTCACGGAATATTATAATTATTCATGTTCAATATTTTTATTTGTTCCGTTGATATAAGTATGCATTCAATCGACAACAAAAGAAAAGGCAACTGTGAATCCGCAGTGAAAGAAATTTGTCAAATCCATGGTAAAGTAATGGTAATGATTAAATGTCCGTGTGCCGTGACTACAGGACAACGTAATCATGCATACGTCTGCTACGATTCATAATAAATACAAGAGCACAGTTATAAGATTAAGAAATTATGCCGTAAAAAGCAGAAAAAGGACTACAGCTAGATAATATACTGTTTGCTTATATATTTGTCCTTCCAATTTTTTTATTGTTTTTATTCTGTATTATAAAAGATACATGATATTTTACTCTTAAGAGAAAAAAATTGCACTTACGATTGGGGAACACCTATCGTAAAGTTACGACAGATTTTGCACTTAAGATTTTCTTAAGATATTTTTTAAAAAGAAATTTATCGTAAGAATTTGTTGTGCAAAAATCTCTGCAGCTGTATATTATCCGTAGTCCTTTCGCCGCATTTTACGGACAGGCGTGACTCGAGCGATCGGACCCTACACATTTCTTCATAATTAGTTTTTGTAAATAAAAAAACAACAACATCTATTCATGTAAAAACATATTCGTAAATTGAACCATGTCAACAAATATCACTACATAACCAGTGCCACATATGTGTCTTGGGAAATATTTTTTTTTTACACTGTATCAAAATTAATTGAACTCAATACATGTACTTAATTTTATGCAAATATCGTTAGAATGAGGTTCATGTGTATCAGAAAACAATCTTCGTTGCGTAAAATATTATATGAATGAAAATTATATAAGTTTTATTTAAATATTTACAGAAAGAAACTTGATAGAAAATTAAATACGTAAAAATGTTGTTTTAAGAAAACTCACAGTGCAAGTGAATGTATATAAGAAACCGGGGAATGAATTGACCATATGGAAGCCGTTTTGGATAACCAAATCCAAGTGAAATGATACATTTACTTTTATATCTAGGAATATCTGGATACGGTAAACGAAAGCTACAACATTTTACTCAAATTATTTTCGTACATATTTTTTTTTAAATTTTTACACGTTATTTTAACGTGCGCATTTTATGTAAAGGATATAAAAGAAGAATCATATTTTATGCCTTCAACCTTAAGACGCATATGCATAGTTTGATTACCCCCTCAATCAAATCAAACAACAGTTCAATAGTCATAGGGTTGAGTTGATTGCACGCTTACGGTGAGCGGCATCCAGAATTTTCTAACAATAGGCTATATGGTACAGACCATGATTATTCACCCAAAGATTCAAATGTATTGTATTGACCTTACAATGTGTTCAGCAATATTTGAAAAGAAGTCCGCATATTTTTCACCACTTACGATGTAGTGACAACATTCAGGCTGCGCCTATGCGTATTACTATGGTGGCTGCTTTAGAACGCTTTTATCGGACTTTCGTCTTGTCGTGTTGTCGCTAACGTTGCACGCCAACGGCGCGTTGTCGTGCGCCATGTTGTCGCTCGGCTCAAATCGAATGATTGACTTATAAACCAACCGACAGAGCGACAACAACGCGTCGTTTGGCGTGCTTCTCTAGAGACACGACGACAATATGACAGTGCGACAACTCGCCATTTGGCGAGTTTCGCTATAGCGACAGGACGGAATGGCGAGAATACGATATAGGTTGTGTTGTCGCTATGGACAACGCAACGCGCAAAGTATACCAAATCAGCCACCATATATTACTGCGTGTTGCGGTCATACATTTGTGTTTATTTTTTATCATTTTTGTGTCCTTGAAAAGAGGATATAGAGGATATTCAATTTTAATCTATAAATACATGATTTATTTTCATCGAGTGGTATGAAAATTAATATTTCATGAGTGGCGGTAGCCTAACAATTTTCATGCCACAAGATGAAAATAAATCGTGTATTTTTAGAAGAAAAAAAAAGAATTTTCTGTTTATTATATACATTTTTCTCTTTTTTGACATTACAATTAGAAAGACTTACCCTAAAATTTTGTGTACTGGCAGAATTTAAAAGAAATTAAGTAGTCCGGCAAGACACCAGTGAAAATACGGAAAATATGTTTCACTGCAGAGAAAAATAAATTTATACAAAGAACGTACGGAAAATGAAAATAGGCGTTTTATTTCATTAATATTTCTCAATGTTTCATTTATAAGAATATAATAAACCGGTATATAACGCAATAATAACATAATAATTATGTTTGTGATATGAACTTTTAATAGATATTATTTAATTTATGGCTTAATTCCTGGTATTTAAGGATCATCCCTCGACATGTGCAACTTGAGGATAATAACGTATGTACTCTTTTTTTTTTTTGGCTTCCGTAAATTATGTTAATGATAAATGTAGCAACATAAAATAGTTTTCATCAAAATAGTTTAGTGTTAGAACAGCTGTTACTTTGTAATAGAATGCCTGGGTTCAAATCCCATTTGGATTATTGTGATGTTGTTTTACAGCTCTCAATACTTTACACTTGTTGTTCATACTGTAAAGTTAAATGATATGACAGATCTGTTACATGATGTAAGGTGTGACCGATCTTAGACCTGTGACATGTATAATGATGATACAGGGGGCCGACCGAAGATCTGTGAGATGTATAATGATGTTACAGGTGACCGACCGTAGATCTGTGGGATGTATAATGACGATACAGGTGAACGACCGTAGATCTGTGGGATGTATAATGATGATACAGGGGGCCGACCTTAGATCTATGGGGTGTATAATGATGATACAGGTGACCGACCGTAGATCTGTGGGATGTATAATGATGTTACAGGTGGCCGACCGTAGATCTGTGGGATGTATAATGATGATACAGGGGGCCGACCGTAGATCTGGGGGATGTATAATGATGTTACAGGTGGCCGACCGTAGATCTGTGGGATGTATAATGATGATACAGGGGGTCGACCGTAGATCTATGGGATGTATAATGATGATACAGGTGAACGACCGTAGATCTGTGGGATGTATAATGATGTTACAGGTGACCGACCTTAGATCTGTGGGATGTATAATGATGATTACAGGGGGCCGACCGTAGATCTGTGGGATGTATAATGATGTTACAGGGGCCGACCGTAGATCTGTGGGATGTATAATGATGTTACAGGTGAAACGACCGTAGATCTGTGGAATGTATAATGATGATACATGGGGCGACCTTAGATCTGTGAGATGTATAATGATGATACAGGTGAACGACCGTAGATCTGTGGATGTATAATGATGATACAGGGGACCGACCGTAGATCTGTGGATGTATAATGATGATACAGGTGAACGACCGTAGATCTGTGGGATGTATAATGATGTAACAGGTGGCCGACCGTAGATCTGTAGGATGTATAATGATGTTACAGGTGAACGACCGTAGATCTGTGGGATGTATAATGATGATACATGGGGCCGACCTTAGATCTGTGAGATGTATAATGATGGTACAGGTGAACGACCGTAGATCTGTGGGATGTATAATGATGATACAGGGGGCCGACCGTAGATCTGTGGGATGTATAATGATGATACAGGTGACCGACCGTAGATCTGTGAGATGTATAATGATGTTATAGGTGGCCGACCGTAGATCTGTGGGATGTATAATGATGATACAGGGGGCCGACCGTAGATCTGTGGGATGTAAAATGATGATACAAGGGGCCGACCGTAGATCTGTGAGATGTATGAAGATGATACAGGGGGCCGACCGTAGATCTGTGGGATGAATAATGATGATACAGGTGAACGACCGTAGATCTGTGGGATGTATAATGATGTTACAGGTGACCGACCTTAGATCTGTGGGATGTATAATGATGATACAGGGGGCCGACCGTAGATCTGTGGGTTGTATAATGATGTTACAGGTGGCCGACCGTAGATCTGTGGGATGTATAATGATGTTACAGGTGAACGACCGAAGATCTGTGGGATGTATAATAATGATACATGGGGCCGACCTTAGATCTGTGAGATGTATAATGACGATACAGGTGAATGACCGTAGATCTGTGGGATGTATAATGATGATTCATGGGGCCGACCTTAGATCTTTGAGATGTATAATGATGATACAGGGGGCCGACCGTAGATCTGTGGGATGTATAATGATGATACAGGTGAACGACCGTAGATCTGTGGGATGTATAATGATGTAACAGGTGGCCGACCGTAGATCTGTGGGATGTATAATGATGTTACAGGTGAACGACCGTAGATCTGTGGGATGTATAATGATGATACATGGGGCCGACCTTAGATCTGTGAGATGTATAATGATGATACAGGTGAACGACCGTAGATCTGTGGGATGTATAATGATGATACAGGGGCCGACCGTAGATCTGTGGGATGTATAATGATGATACAGGGGGCCGACCGTAGATCTGTGGGATGTATAATGATGATACATGGGGCCGACCGTAGATCTGTGACATGTATAATGATGTAACAGGTGGCCGACCGTAGATCTGTGGGATGTATAATGATGATACAGGGGGCCGACCAAAGATTTGTGAGATGTATAATGATGATACAGGTGAACGACCGTAGATCTGTGAGATGTATAATGATGATACAGGGGGCCGACCGTAGATCTGTGGGATGTATAATGATGTTATAGGTGGCCGCCTGTAGATCTGTGGGATGTATAATGATGTTATAGCTAGGTGAACGACCGTAGATCTGTGGGATATATAATGATGATACAGTTGGCCGACCTTAGATCTGTGGGATGTATAATGATGTTACAGGTGAACGACCGTAGATCTGTGGGATGTATAATGATGTTACAGGTGACCGACCGTAGATCTGTGGGATGTATAATGATGTTACAGGTGGCCGACCGTAAATCTGTAGGATGTATAATGATGATACAGGGGGCCGACCTTAGATCTGTGGGATGAATAATGATGTTACAGGTGAACGACCGTAGATCTGTGGGATGTATAATGATGTTACAGGTGGGCCGACCGTAGATCTGTGGGATGTATAATGATGTTACAGGTGACCGACCGTAGATCTGTGGGATGTATAATGATGTAACAGGTGGCCGACCGTAGATCTGTGGGATGTATAATGATGTTACAGGTGGCCGACCGTAGATCTGTGGGATGTATAATGATGTTACAGGTGGCCGACCGTAGATCTGTGGGATGTATAATGATGTTATAGGTGGCCGACCGTAGATCTGTGAGATGTATAATGATGATACAGGTGACCGACCGTAGATCTGTGAGATGTATAATGATGTTACAGGTGACCGACCGTAGATCTGTGGGATGTATAATGATGATATAGGTGACCGACCGTAGATCTGTGAGATGTATAATGATGATACAGGTGACCGACCGTAGATCTGTGAGATGTATAATGATGTTACAGGTGACCGACCGTAGATCTGTGGGATGTGTAATGATGATACAGGTGACCGACCGTAGATCTGTGAGATGTTTAATGATGATATAGGTGACCGACCGTAGATCTGTGAGATGTATAATGATGATACAGGTGAACGACCGTAGATCTGTGAGATGTATAGTGATGTTATAGAAGACCGACCGTAGATCTGTGAGATGTATAATGATGTTACATGGGGCCGACCTTAGATCTGTGGGATGTATAATGATGTTACAGGTGGCGAACCGTAGATCTGTGGGATGTATAATGATGTTACAGGTGGCCGACCGTAGATCTGTGGGATGTATAATGATGATACAGGTGAACGACCGTAGATCTGTGGGATGTATAATGATGTTACAGGTGACCGACCGTAGATCTGTGGGATGTATAATGATGATACAGGTGAACGACCGTAGATCTGTGGGATGTATAATGATGTTACAGGGGGCCCCGACCGTAGATCTGTGGGATGTATTATGATGATACAGGTGAACGACCGTAGATCTGTGGGATGTATAATGATGATACAGGGGGCCGACCGTAGATCTGTGGGATGTATAATGATGATACAGGTGGCCGACCGTAGATCTGTGGGATGTATAATGATGATACAGGTGGCCGACCGTAGATCTGTGGGATGTATAATGATGTTACAGGTGGCCGACCGTAGATCTGTGGGATGTATAATGACGATACAGGTGAACGACCGTAGATCTGTGGGATGTATAATGACGATACAGGTGAACGACCGTAGATCTGTGGGGATGTATAATGATGATACAGGTGAACGACCGTAGATCTGTGGGATGTATAATGATGATACAGGGGGCCGACCGTAGATCTGTGGGATGTATAATGATGATACAGGGGGCCGACCGTAGATCTGTGGGATGTATAATGATGATACAGGGGGCCGACCGTAGATCTGTGGGATGTATAATGATGATACAGGGGGCCGACCTTAGATCTGTGGGATGTATAATGATGTTACAGGTGGCCGACCGTAGATCTGTGGGGTGTATAATAATGTTACAGGGGGTCGACCGTAGATATGTGAGATGCATAATGATGATACAGGTGAACGACCGTAGATCTGTGGGATGTTTTAATGATGTTACAGGTGACCGACCGTAGATCTGTGGGATGTATAATGATGTTACAGGTGAACGACCGTAGACCTGTGAGATGTATAATGATGTTATAGGTGGCCGACCGTAGATCTGTGGGATGTATAATGATGTTACAGGTGAACGACCGTAGATCTGTGGGATGTATAATGATGATACAGGGGGCCGACCGTAGATCTGTGGGATGTATAATGATGTTATAGGTGAACGACCGTAGATCTGTGGGATGTATAATGATGTTACAGGTGACCGACCGTAGATCTGTGAGATGTATAATGATGTTATAGGTGGCCGACCGTAGATCTGTGGGATGTATAATGAGGATACAGGGTGAACGACCGTAGATCTGTGGGGTGTATAATAATGTAACAGGGGGTCGACCGTAGATATGTGAGATGCATAATGATTATACAGATGAAAGACCGTAGATCTGTGGGATGTATAATGATGATACAGGGGGCCGACCGTAGATCTGTGGGATGTATAATGATGATACAGGGGGCCGACCGTAGATCTGTGGGATGTATAATGATGATACAGGGGGCCGACCGTAGATCTGTGGGATGTATAATGATGATACAGGGGGCCGACCGTAGATCTGTGGGATGTATAATGATGTTACAGGTGGCCGACCGTAGATCTGTGGATGTATAATGATGTTACAGGTGAACGACCGTAGATTCTGTGGGATGTATAATGATGATACATGGGGCGACCGTAGATCTGTAGGATGTATAATGATGTTACAGGTGAACGACCGTACATCTGTGAGTTGCATAATGATGTTACAGGTAACCGACCTTAGATCTGTGGGATGTATAATGATGAAACAGGTGAACGACCGTAGATCTGTGGGATGTATAATGATGATACATGGGGCCGACCGTAGATCTGTGGGATGTATAATGATGATACAGGGGGCCGACCGTAGATCTGTGGGATGTATAATGATGTTACAGGTAACCGACCTTAGATCTGTGAGATGTACAAGTATAATGATGATACAGGTGCACGAACGACCGTAGATCTGTGGGATGTATAATGATGATACAGGGGCCGACCGTAGATCTGTGGGATGTATAATGATGTAACAGGTGGCCAACCGTAGATCTGTGGGATGTATAATGATGTTACAGGTGAACGACCGTAGATCTGTGGGATGTATAATGATGATACAGGGGGCCGACCGTCGATCTGTGGGATGTATAATGATGATACAGGGGGCCGACCGTAGATCTGTGGGGTGTATAATGATGATACAGGGGGCCGACCTTAGATCTGTGGGATGTATAATGATGATACAGGGGGCCGGCCGTAGATCTGCGGGATGTTTATATGATAATACAGGTGAACGACCGTACATCTGTGAGATGTATAATGATGTTACAGGTAACCGACCTTAGATCTGTGGGATGTATAATGATGATACAGGTGAACGACCGTAGATCTGTGGGATGTATAATGATGATACAGGGGGCCGACCGTAGATCTGTGGGGTGTATAATGATGATACAGGTGAACGACCCTAGATCTGTGGGTGTATAATGATGATACAGGGGGCCGACCGTAGATCTGTGGGGTGTATAATGATGATACATGGGGCCGACCGTAGATCTGTGGGATGTATAATGATGTTACAGGTGAACGACCGTAGATCTGTGGGATGTATAATGATGTTACATGGGGCCGACCGTAGATCTGTGGGATGTATAATGATGTTACAGGTGAACGACCGTAGATCTGTGGGATGTATAATGATGTTACAGGTGAACGACTGTAGATCTGTGGGATGTATAATGATGATACAGGGGGGCCGACCGTAGATCTGTGAGATGTATAATGCTGATACAGGGGGCCGACCGTAGATCTGTGGGGTTTATAATGATGTTACAGGTGACCGACCTTAGATCTGTTAGATGTTTAATAATGATTCGTGAGACTGACGACTTTAGATCTGTGATGTGTTTTATAATGATGCAGGTGGCCGACTTTAGATATTTGAGATTTTGAATCATAACACAAATGTGTTATTGTGTTATTTACAGTAAAGAATTAAATAGAAATTATGTTAAAATATATATAGTCCTGCAACTGACAAAGAAATATAAAATATGTCAAGAGAACAATCTTAAAGAACACCAGTCACGAGCGTTAAAAAACAACAACCAAAAACATTATTTTTGTATGGAATTTATTGATGTTGAACTGAATTGTAGTTTAAACTTAGTTTCTACTCAAAGTAAAATAGTCGGCGCACATGTAAATTTAATGCACAATATCACGTGACAATCTTTTAAAATATTTAAACCATCTATATTTAATCATAAATATTAAAATGCTAAAATAATATGATTTATCACTAAATTATTATTCAAAGTCAATACGGAAAAATACCGTTCGACGGTTATTACTATACGCCTGTCAATCAAATATTTGGGTCATGAATATGCATAACGACTTTAGATCTGTGAGCGACCGTAGATCTGTGAGAATTATTGTTTACGTAATAATAACACAACGTGATAACTAGTTTTTAACTGTTGAGAAGATTGTACATCGAAGTAGCATGCAAAGCGGGTATTGCCTAAAAGCTGTTAAAAAGGGTTACCGTTAAAAAGTCCTTTAACTCAACCCTCGTGCATTGAAGGATAATAAACTTAAAAGCCAATATTCATCTTGAGCTTATAGGCTAGCAGGAGAAATTTGTAACAAGCGTGTTTTTTTTAAATATAGGATTGCTTTACAGTAACCTGCGAATTTTTCGTCTCTGTATAAAGTATACATGTATCAATATAATATATTTTAATATCAAACAAATCTATATGTTTCATAGAAACTTTTTTTTTTTGCATCGGATCATTCAGGTACATATGCCTGGGTCATTTAATCTTTTAAAACGTCAATATTTGAGAAGTATACATGTTCATTTTTACACATATTCTTGTTAATTGTCAGCTATACTAAATAATGTTACAAAGATACAATTAAAATCAAACGGTTGGCAGACAAAAAAAACTGAGATGATATGCATAACTTGTATGAGATACATAATATATACTTATAAATATATATTTTAGTGCACATTTTACATATGCATTTATAGGAATGCATAATATAATTTATAATTAACATATTTATTATATACTTATAAATGAAATATTGATGAAAAAATATGCATTTTCATTTTCCGTATTTTCACTGGAAAAAAGTGTGTTTTTTTTCACTGCAGTGAAACAAATTTCCGTATTTTCACTGTTGTTTGCCGGACTACTTTCTGCCAATTGCGGGAACAAATGAGAAAAATTGTATACAATAAACCACGGATTTATGTAAATCCGTGAATAAACAGAATATTCAAGTTTTCCTACAAATACTGGATTTATTTTCATTTAGTGGTATGGAAATAAATATTTCACAGTGGCAGTAGCCACGAGTGAAATATGATAATTTTCATACCACAAGATGGAAATAAATCTTGAATATAGAGTTGCAATTTCAGTAGATATGTGATATAATGACGCTGGTTAGAATCATCACTTTACTAGACAATACAATAATAAAGAGGGGCTTATTTGAGCTACTTTAAATAAAAAAAATAAAAAAAATATACCTAAACCTACTATTAAACAGGATCATATATATCATCACTCATAAAGAATATATAATATAATAAATTACATTACAGTAAACCGATCCTTGATTGATGCTCATTATTTGACAAGACAATTGAGCCTGTCAGCTTTTGCTTTGAACGGTTGAATTTATTTATTTATTTATTTATTTATTTATTTATTTATTTATTTATTTATTTATTTATTTATTTATTTATTTATTTATTTATTTATTTATTATAATATCATCATTCATTAATGGTAAACTTAGATTAAATAGGGTTTGCCTAAAATACGAAAGTAAGATTTTTGAATAAACGTTTTAATCCGTCGCTAAAAACGTTCTGTACACACGAACATGAATGTAATATCCTATTTACACGAAACAGAAAGCGAGAAAACATTTAGATTAGACCTTTCCTTCCTGGTCAGCTGACTTTGTTGACAAATAGAGAATAAAACATCATACATCCATCAGCAGTTTTAAATCAGCATGTATTTACATTGATTAATACTTTTTTTCGATATACTAGGATTTATTCACGGTTGAAGGTAACAGATTCTAAAACAATTTGAATATTGAAGAAAATCTGCAAAACTGTATTATATTTCGGATAAATCTTAATCGGATAATATCAATGTTGCAGTAACGTATTCACTCCTCATATCTGTTTATGTTTTGACAATATATTAGACATTAATATTCAACTTTAATGGGTTGGTTTGTCTGTAGTTTAAGTTTACGATCATTCCCAAATTTAAGGATTTTTCATTCTGAATTTCTGTTAATTTATAGACTTTAGTAAGAAAATTGTATTAAAATTAATTCATATTAAGTAGATCTATATTGTATGTTGAAAATGAAAGATTATTGTCATTGGTATTTGGATAAAAGGGAATGTATCTGAAAATATTTTAATGGCGGCCATACACTGCATTATCTTGCATTACGAAAATTATTTAACTGTACAATGCACTTGTATATATATTTATAATGTAGATATTACCCACTTGCAAAAAACACATTGTCGCATTTTAAAAAGTTTTTTTAAATGATCCAGTTTAAAGGATTTGGTTGACATTTAATCAATATGAGTGCACCATAGTTGAGTTGAGCGTAAGAAGAGCGAAACACTGTCTGACAACAACTACTACTTGGCCCTCTACTAAACAAAAAAAAAAAAATGGCCCCTTATTCCATTCTGGACGGAAGTCCGTCTGTCCGTTTGTCAAAAAACTTGTACGGACTTCTCATCAAAAACTACTAGTGCAATTTCATCCAAACTTTACAGGAATGATATGTACCAAGTGAAGTTGTGCATATCATCAGCATTTTTCAGGCCATTCGTTTTGTCAGAGTTATGGCCCTTTAATGATTTTAAAGTCAGTCAAGACTTCTAAACACTTCTCTTGTACCAGTAATGTAATTTGAATGAATCTTTACAGGATTGATTGATACCTCAAGTACTTGCCCATATATGTCAATGGTTTTATGGTTGATTGAATGATATTTGGGTGAGTTATGGCCCTTGAATAAAAAAATGTTTTTCAGTCATACATGTACTCATAAATGATTTTTATGTACCCACAGTTTCTGTTGGGACATATAGAGAACAAACTGGGCCCAATCATCTCTTCATTACAAGTGTTTAATTGGCTATCATTGGGTGGCATAATATGTGAATCAGTGATCACTCTTGTTTCAATTCAATTTGCCCACTTGAAATTAATACTATCCAATGTCATGTACAAATTAAAAGGGTTTTTAATCTAAAAGTTTAATATTATAATCATGGGCAACTTTGAATAACTATAATTGTTATTAACTTGTTTGATTCTGGAAGTCATGCTAATCACTAAGAAAGCAGGAAGTGCAAAATCAGGAGTGACATCTATTCATAGTTTACTTCCTTATTCTAAGGTGAAGGTCATTTCCCTGAAAAAAAATCGTATTTTAAATTTTCTTTAAAAAAAAAAATTAAGGGGAATGTCAATAAAAATTATTTTACACAGTGTATAATATACAATGTCTATTCTTAATGCACAGTACTATCTAAGTGTTAAAATAATATAATGGAAACTACCTTGTTTTATTTGCAAACCTTGGCCTTTCAGTATTGGAATAGGTAACCTGTTGATCTGTCAAATAATTAAGAAAATAAATCTGAAACTTTTAAAAAATGCCATAAATGTAAGTCAAATAGACTTTGTTTAATACCAATATTTTAATCCTTGTTTACTAAAATTTGACCGCACTGCTTTGTTGCATAATGGTAAGTTTCACAAAATGCCCAATTTTTGTAACACATAAAATTATACAATAACAAGAGCACCGCTACACAGAGCATTATATGCCCAAAATTGTTGTTGTTTTTCTTTGGTAAGGATGAAGCATTTGTAAGACATTACATAAATTTAATAAAGTATTACCTCCTCCAAATAGCAATCCTCCTATAACGTTTGAATATTGTGGGCCAAATGGAACTAAAGTTATGCTCTGGACCTTGAACTTTGACCTTGTGACCCCAAACTCAATAGGGGTCTTCTACCCAATATGGATAGTCATCCTATGAAGTTTGAACACTGTGCCAAATAGAAATTAAGTTATGTTCTGGAACGTGTTTTCAGTTTTAAAGTAATAGTGACCTTGACCTTTTACTTTGTGACCCTAAAATCAATAGGGTCTTCTACCCAATATGGACAATCATCCTATGAAGTTTGAACACTGTGGGCCATATGGAACTTAAGTTATGCTCCGGACACTGTTTTTAGTTTTAAGTTGATAGTGACCTTTGACTTTGTGACCCCAAAATCAATAGGGGTCTTCTACCTAATATGGACAATCATCCTATGAAGTTTGAATATTGTGGGCCAAACGGAACTTAAGTTATGCTCTGGAAACCAAATTGCTAACGGATGGACGAATGCCAGGCAAGGGGTATAACATAATATGCCCGAAATTCTTTCGGGCATACAAAAAATGTTCTGCTCTGCATCTTTCTTAAACATATGTCACACCTGGAAGAATAGTGGGATATATTGTTTGGGTTACAAAAGTTAGAATAGGTAATAGAATAGCATTACTTATGATATGCACTAAAAGATTTTAGGTCCCATGTAAACATTGCTAAAACCTTGCTTAAAAAAAGAACCAGTATTTATTGTTATTATGATTTTCTATCAGATACCCATGCGACTTTGGTGACTCTGTAAAACCAGTATTGACTGGCTGTGCATATATTTTTACATAACATCATTTGCGCAAGAAATATGTTGTTTCAATTTTGTTACATTGACAGCTGTGGGATATGAGATAAATTTTTAAATTATTTTAGTAGGGGAGCAGCAAAAACCCAGAAACGGGTTTTTGGTCAAGGGCCCAGAAAATAAATGAAACATTTGGGTCATGAAAATAGTTTTAAACCCAAGGGGTTCCCAAAAATTTGGGAAAAACCGAGAGAAAACCATTTTCCAATAATCACCAACAAAAGGAGAGGGCCCCCGGGCAAAAAAGACAGGAAGTCATAACCAGCAAAGTCTTTTCCAAAGTTCCCGCCCCTTTTTGTATTGAACCCCCGGTTTCTCCCACAAACCCAAAAAGGGGTTTGGTAAGTTCCTGGGCCCGGGAATGCACGTGTTAGCTCTTTTTATACCCCGAAACAGGGAAGATAGATCTGCAAAAAAAACGAATTTTTTTTTTAATGGCCCAAAATAAAAAAAATAAAAGAAAAGCAAAAAAATTGCCCCAGGGAAATTTTGTTAAATTACAAATTTTAAAATCCTTCTTGTCACCATACAGGTAATGTTTTGTTTGTTCCTTCAATCTTTAACTCACTTATTTCAGTTTCAAAATAACTTAAGTTAAACTTGTTTGTTAAAACTATTAATATGTGTACATGTACCTATATTTTGATTTAATCCAGTTTTGTGCTGTGGAATAAAAAATCTAGCTTTTCTAGTCTGGTGTAGTACATGTACTTGTTTTATAGAAGGTCTAATCTGGTGTAATGCCTTGGTTATAGAAGGTCCAATGTAACTCTGACATGGATTTTGACTGAATTATGGCCCTTTTTTAAACTTCGAAAATTCTAATTTAAAAATCAGTCTTCATATATTGAAAGGTATTCACATGAAACTTAATGAAATATTTTCCAACTCACAAAGGGCCATAATTCAAAATCTATGTCAGAGTGACTTTCAATAATGATCGAAAACACATGAGTTCATAAAATATTTGGTTAAGATTTGCATGCAACATTAGTCTCAAAATAACTACTGGTTCAATACTCTAGATTGATATCTTTGTACAGTTGATTTATATAATCATAATGGGTATCAATTTAACCTAAAAAAAAATTCTAATATGTTTTCAGTTGAACCAATTTTGTTACAATATGTAAAGACTAACCATAGTAAAACACAAACTTATATTTTCAGTTGATACAGTTTGGTTACAGTAGATCTAGCCTGGTAGAATTTGATGAGAAGAGTACTATAGCAATGGAGCACATGTACCTCAGTAATTGGGACAGTACATACGAGACAATGCCGTACCCTGCTGCGATAGGAAAATATGCCTTGTATACAACACAAGAAATCATAGAGCATATCAATTTTGCTACTTGGAAGGTATTGTTTGTTTTTAATAACACCTTTATAATTTAGATTTAGTTTTTTCTAGGACATTAATCATCACATCTGAGAAATGACCGTAAAGGTTCCTTAATGTACTTTTTACATATCTTGCCTTAGAAACAGACTGTTTAGGTATCTTTGTTCAGACACAGTCTAATTAAACATTGCTGCTCATAAACAAGTTCTTTATGCTCAGAGTCATCATTACTCTGGATCAAACTATTTATGTATCATTGCAAAGAGTCAGGTTAATTAGGTATCATTTCTTTAGAAAAATGTTCTTTATGTGTAATTTTTCAAAAGGAAGTTCTTTATGAATCATTGCTAAAAATCTTGTTCTTTATGTGTCATTTCTCAGAATTAAGTTCTTGATAGGGCATTGCATAGAATCAAGTTCTTAATATGTCATTTTTCAGAAAAATTTCCTTTTGTTAATTCTCAGAAACAAGTTCTTTCAGGACAAGTTCTTTATGCATTATTGCTCAAAATCTAGTTCTTTATGTGTCATTTTCTTTATGTGTCATTTTCTTTATGTGTCATTTTTCAGAAACATGTTCTTTCAGAAACATGTACTTTGTGTTATTCCACAGAAGCAAATTCTTTCTGTGTCATTTTTCAGAATCGGGTTCTTTATTTGTTATTTTTTAGAAACAAGTGCTTTAAGCATCATTGCTCAAAATTGTTTTATTATGTGGAAGCAAGTTCTTTATGTGTCATTTTTAAGAAACAAGTTCATTATGTGTCACTGTGTAGAATCTGGTGCTTTTGTATCATTATGAGTTGTTATATTTCAGTATGATTGCACGGAGACAGATGCAATAGGCTCATTGAGATTTTACCGGAAGAAAGGAATTGTTGATCCTATGCAAATGTGTCTACATACATACAGGTCAAGTGAAATTAATGACACAACCAACTCCTATAAGATCAATTCAAAAGTTGATGAAAGTAAGTGATTTTATCAAGAATTGTATATTTAAATGTACAATTTTTCTATTATGCCTCCATATAGTCCTGTCAGTTGAAAGCTTTCTTTCACTCAGATTCTTACCTGTTTGATTTACAAAGTCAAGTGTCAAACTTCCTTTGATTAATAACTTGGCTAGCAGTATGGGCCGGGTCAAACTGCATGGAAACGAAGGCTGGCCTGTGTCTTGACTGGTGACAATAGCGATAAACACTTTCAGTTCAAACATGGTATGGGTTGATTGGGGTCACTCTTTATCTTGTAGATTGTTACAAAGTTGGAAGGTGGAACGAAACTGGAGACATAACTAACAAATCATACGATATTGTGAAATACATGCAGATACATCACAACGTCACTTTAGACTACAACATTTTTGACAGGTAGGATTTTTTGTTTGTGTACATGAATATTTGACTGTACATGAATATTTGACTGACCTTAAGTGCTTTTTACTGCTGTTCCATTAATTTAATTCCTAGGTTTTTTTCTGTATGATATCTCTTCAGTAAAAAGCAGTATTACACACTTTTCCTAAAAATACATTTTGTACTTTTTAACAGTGTCAAATATAAAACACCAATCTCTGCAAAGCAACACTCTTTTGGAGACAAATAATTTGGTCTTTGCTGATGTGTGTTGCTCAATGGAAGTTAAATCTATGTTACTTTAGGGAAAATTTGTTAATATTGTTGAACAGAGGTTACTGGTCTGCAGAGGTTGAAGTATAAATTGATTAAAATCCACATGGACTTATTTTACAACCCTTACTGTTACACATCATTGTTCCTTTAAATATATAAAATAACATTCAGATTAATGTAAACAAACGAAAAGTTAATACTCCATTCAAAAGACATTTCATAAAATAGTCACAGGGTGTGAAAAATGAACACCCTGACTGGGATCTGAACCGGGACTCTTGTAATACGGTACCACTGCTCTACGGACAGCTATCTGGCAGCTAACACACTATATCACTAATTAGTTAATAGTTCAATACTGTGACTGAAATACTATATCATATCCATTTGTTAAAACTTCTGGTTTTACTACCATTGTCCTACTGATTTTACAAACAGTTGCACAAAGGGTCAGTAAAATGTACATGTATTTTCAGATTATTGTTAGCAGAGCTGAAATTTTCTTTGAAGTCATTCCGCCTAGAGATGAAAGAAAGAAGTTTTCCTCCACAACTGTTTAAAGTTGATGTCAGCGTATGTATATGTATATAAATATCATCTCAAATTTAAAAAAGATATTATTAATTTTACCACACTGAATATCTTAAATGGACTTGCCTATCTTTTCATTCTGGACAAAACCATTCATCTTTAGAAGGGAAAATTTCAAATTATGAACTAACAGTATAGGGAACAGTGCAAGTCAGTATGGATGTTCTTGGTCTCCACTGGTCATGTGGGCAGATTCAGTCATGACCAGTAGGTTAAAGATTAATGTTGCCAATGAAGAATAGGGAGAGCTATTGTACTCAACCAGGAGTTGGCATCACACTGGTTAAGTTTTTGCATTTATGTTGATATCCCCAAAACTATTAAAGGGAATTGATTGAAACTTTACAAACTTATTTGAGAGCATAATAGAAGGTTGCTTTCCAAGGACCATAACTCTAACATTGATTTGACAGAATTATTGCCCTTTTTGGACTAAGATCATTCTGCATTATTCTGGCTCTTGTTTTACTATCAAGCACTGAGATAAGTTGAGCATGATTTCCTACTGACAGCTCTTGTTGTTCTGTGAAATTTAAATGTATATGTAAATTTTTTTGTGCAGATCAATTTTGATGACAGAAACAAAGATGGCCAGATGCTGGTTACCTTAGATACAGATTTTGAAGAGTTAGATCTAGACGGTACATCCGATAATGATGGTAATCATTTTCTGTCTAATTCCTTACTAATTTTACTGTATTATCTAAGGGCTATTTTTGTGTATTTTGACCTCATTTTGGTTATTTACATAGATTGTAAATGTCGTTTGTATTGTATTAATTACTTATTTTGTTTACTTCACAATATATACAATATATTTTACTTTTAAATAAATTTTCATAATAATTAGCATGAATCTACAGGCAAGCTGCTTTAAAAACCAGAATTATTCTTGTTTATGTTACAGATATACAGGACCAACAGAAGGCAGGTTATATTGTACTAGATTGTTTTGTGCTGGTGGTGACGATTGTATCTATGATATTATGTGGCAGATCTGTCATTAGAGCTCAGAGACTGAAACGAGTAGGTTATTGTATTGTATTGTTAATAACAGATATTAGTAATAAAACTCTCACACTCAGAGGTGATTAAGATACCAGATGTACATTTCTCTGTAACCATTTCTATGTATTCAGTAGTACTAATCCTTTATTGAACAAAATCCTAACACATATTAGTACATTTTGTCTCCTTGGTTTATTGGTTAACTTGCAGACTTTTGGCTCTGTGGTTTGGTGGTTAAGTTTGCCAACTTCTAATCACCTGGGCCCCTTATCCCTTTAGGTTGGAATCTTTTTTTGGGACCTTAGTTTTTGTCATTAGATGAAGCTGGCTGGCTAGCTTACAGAAAGTCGATTGTTCTACTCAATTGCCCCGTTGTACCTGAAATAATGCACATTGCTGAACTAGAGGTCTTCCTTTACCAATAAAGCTGGAAAGTGGGGAATGAACAGGTTCTATACAGTTGGTAGCTCAATTTTGTATTTTGATTTTGAAAAACTTTTTTTAATGGACTGTTCTAAAGCAAGGCAAATCCATTTTAGAAACTGCTCAGGCTAAAAGTTAATCTGTGTTGAAAATTATTTTGATAATATATCTTGTTATAGAAATTTCTTAACATTCCATCATTTATAAGCTATTGGATATTGTAAAAGTTGTGTATGGTGATAAACTGGTATAATTGATGAGTACTATGTTTTTATCACATTAACCACAGCGAAGGAGTGTAATAAAACCATTTAATAAAAACGATATTACACTAGTGTAATAACACTTTGATGGACGTCATTTGCATTATATAGAAACATGGTGTGCGCTAATGTTAGCATTACACTATATGTGCGCCAATGAAAAATGACTCTTTTCAATTGTAAACCATTCTTATTTTAGATATGTGATAAATAGACTATTATATTCATGTAGTTCAACACTAAATTTACTGAACTTGCCAGAGGCTAGCATAGTATGTTTTTATTCAACTCATTTAATAAATTTAGTGTTAAACCTTTACTCATTTAATATCCTCTGTATATTACAGGAGACAGTTGAATATTTCAAGTTACGTCGAGGGAAGACTTTATCCAAGTCTGATCAATGTGAGTTCCTGAATCTCTGGTATGTTACAATCATCATCAATGATCTACTTACCATTGTTGGAACAGCTTTCAAAATGCAACTTGAACTCCGGGTAACCATTATTCTGATAGCTTTTTTATGTAACTATCATTCCATTTTGTTTATATAATACTAATTTATTTTAGTTGGATTGTGGCGAAAGCTGTAAGCTTATTGAAATACTTTCTATTCCGTTCCTGGTACTAAGCATTGAGTGTAAGGGAAACAACGTCTTGCCCCTGATGGCGTTTGAACCCACTGGCCAGCAATCCTTAATTAACTTTAACTTTGCACACAAGTTATTGATACAAACGTATACAAATTGTTACGCAAATTTTGAAAAAATATTTACAGTCCCATCATGTGAAAAAAACCTCAGTGGAGTCCCTTTAATATAGGGTAATCTTGAAATCTGCATAAAATAGTATAAGCATACATGTATCCAATGTACGTTTAATTATGTATATATGATTACGTTCATTTTAAAATACGATATTATTTTTTTATTATAGAACATGAAGAGTTCATCCAGTAACTATGACTACGCCGGTTTGTTGCTAGGTACCGGCAGTCTTCTAGCATGGCTTGGTGTGTTAAGATATATTGGATTCTTCAAACAGTTCAATGTAAGATTATTCTGTGACGTTAATGGAGATAAAGGAAATGTTTATGACAAGAAATTTATATGTGTAAAATTAAGGGTTAAAATGTAGAACAGTAAGGTCATGATAAATTTCTGTCCAGTCCCCTTGTGGCTGAGGGCTGGAGGCATCAGAATCGTGGCCACCTGCGTGATTGTAAGAGGTGACTAAATGAGTCCGAATTACTTGAGTATAATAAATTTTGTCACCTTAGTGCAATAACTCAATAACTGCTATTAAATATAAAAGCACTTATTACGTTATTGCACTAAGGTGACATTATGCATCTCTAAGCTCCAGCTTGATAGGTGATTTTGACCCCTCTTGTTGTTTTAAGCTCTTAAGGTTAGCCAAAATCATCTTTCCTGTTTCGGCTGTATATGACCTAAATTGTGTTGTGCTCTTTAAAACCAAAAACAAAAGAGAGAAAAAATGATGTACGGGTAGATAGTTGTAAATTGTCATATTGTATTGTAACAGACTCCATAATGTGATGAATAAAATAATTTTTGAAAGAACTAAAAGGCATATGCAAGGGTTATTGCGTGTAGACACATAGCTGAATGAAAAAATGTATTATAAAAATTTATATACAAGGGCAGATTGTATAAAGTTGATGACCCCCATATTTCCATTTAAATTGTTTCTTTTATTAATACTTTCTAAGATCATTCTTCTGTATTTATATGTATATGCAACTTTAGCATGTGCCCTTAAAACATTTAAATTCTGTAGCTCTATTCATTATATACCTAATTTTATAAACCATATATTTATTTTTTTGGGAGCCAATGTCTATGAGCGCTATACTGAAATTAGCGTTATAACGGAGAGCGATATATCGAGGCTACAGTGTATTAATAACATCAACTTTCTACTTTCAGATATTAATAGTTACATTGAAAAAAGCGTTCCCAAACATGATGAGGTTTTTATCATGTTGTATGATGTTATATATTGGTTTTGTTATATGTGGTTGGGTGGTACTTGGTCCATACCACATAAAGGTAAGTCACTTTATTTATCATACAAAATTGGTGTTTAGCAGATTACAGATTTTAGCAAAAACTTTAAAAACGATTAATTTCAGATGTTTCTTTTGATTTGCAGGCATTATTTATTATATATTTTCATTGAAATGTTTACAAATAGTTTTATTGAAACAGCAATGAAAGAATTATCTTAAAAATTTCAAAACTGATAAAATTCTCAGAAATACAGTGATACCCCCTCTAAACAGTACATACGCCAGACCAAGAATTTTGTCTGTGTTAGAGAGGCATCCAAACTAGAGAGATAAAATTTTAAGTTAATTTTGAAGTTGTGCAGTTGGGTATAGTTAATCAATGAATGGTTGTAATTTAACATACTAGTAAATGCAGTCTTTCTATGCCATATCAATAAAATAGAAATTTATGTCATTTTAAAACAAATTTAATTTCATGATGTTTTTTAAAACAAATTTAATTTCATGATGTTTTTTAAAACAAATTTAATTTCATGATATTTTTTTTTAACCCTTAACCTGCTGAATTTCTTAAATTGTCTTTACCAGTTAACATTTTTGGAACTGCCCATTATAAATTATGGGATATCAAGATGAAAATACAAAGTTTCTTATCCTGCCAGTAAAGAACCTGGTCTGACTGCAGCAATGTGCAGACTGGTCTGGCTCTATACTGGTGGCTGAGGCTAATCACATCTTGTTCCAGCAGGTTCAGGGTTGTCTTTATTGTTTGTAATGTCTAAATGTTTCATGTATTGCAATGTAAAGCAGTTTGTACTTTTATCTTTAAATCACAAGGAAATTACTCGACTCTTTTATGATTGTAACGTTTGCTTATTCTTTTCCAGCATACTCATATACATGTATACTTTTTTTTCATGAAACTTTCCACTTTCAGTTATTTTCATTAAAAATGCTTATCAAACTTCCCTTTTCTTAAAATATGTTTGTTTCATAAATAGCTTAAATGTGTGACTAATTGCTTATTTTATGTTGCTCATTTATTTACATTTGCTATTATTTGTATGATTTGTCCATGTATCAAGGAAGTGAAAGTGTCAGTACAATGAAGTGTTATTTTAAGTGACCTCATGTAATGTCCATTACACATTATTATCAAGGATTTAATTTTTTAAAAAGTATCTTCACCTTTACCACTCCATAGATTTTAATCAAACTTAATAAAAAAGATCTATAGGTTTTCCCTTGATGTTTGGCATGTACCATTGTTTGGTGGGCCTTTTAACAGTTGCAAACATTATATCCCTGCCATGCCCATGGAACTTTTTAACTACTTTTCCATTTACATTTGAGCTACAACTGTTTTGCCTCTTATCTTTATTAACACAAGTTACATATTAGTTAGGCTTGCTGTGATATTGTTAAATCTTCTCTATTATAATGTACAAGATAAATCTTTCCACCCAAAACCCTTCGATTTTTCTCTGCTGTTGTAAACCAACAGGATAAATTGTCAGCTATATTAAAAGCTTTGTCAATGTCACATTATTAAATCTCATTATTTGAGCTATTTTCTACTTTACAGTTCAAGAACCTGAGTACCACATCTGAATGTTTGTTCGCACTTATAAATGGTGATGATATTTTCACAACTTTTTCTGCAACTGTCACTGAAAACCTTCTAATCTGGTACTACAGTAGGATATACCTTTACCTGTTCAGCTCTTTGTTTATTTACGCTGTGCTGAATCTCTTTATTGCCGTTATAATGGACACCTATGAAACTATAAAGGTAATGTATATTAGATAAAGGCATGGTGTCGTAATATATAATCTCTATTTTGTTTTCAGTTTCGTCAAATGAGTACGGCCTCCGAGTGTTTATTTTCACTTGTAAATGGTGATGATATGTTTGTAACGTTTTCCGCTACAGTGACCAAGAACCAGCTCATCTGGTATTACAGTAGGATTTACCTGTATCTATTCATCTCATTGTTTATCTACGCTGTGTTGAATCTATTTATAGCCGTGATCATGGACACATATGAAACTATAAAGGTACTGACCAGTCCTGTTGTATACCTGCAGATAATTGTCACCGTGGCACTAATTACCCGAGCTAGTAATAGAAACCCCATCGGTAGTATAGAGTACTGTATCAACCTCGCAGATATTTCCTGTGATATCATCCCATTATATCTGATTTAAGTGAAAGCACATTTATTGTCAAAACTTCCCTGCAAATAGCACAAAACACATGTATTATCAAAATATTACATTATTACTTATAAACTATTGCCAAGACCTATACAAGTAAGTAACTGAAAGCACATACATGTATATTGTTCAAAGTTTATACCAGTATGTAACTATATAGAGGATATTAAATGAGTGCAAGTTTAATATCAAATTTACTGAACTAGTTGAATAAAATTATGTGATGCAAGCCTCTCATGTGCATGATATCATTTTATTCAACAAGTAATGAACTTACACTAATTTAATATTCTTTTTATCATATACCCAAAATAAAGACTGTTTGAAGTCAAAAAAAGCCATTTTACATTGACAAGCCTACAGTATAACGCTAACATTTAGCGCATCCTAATGCTATGTTTTTATAACGCAAATAACGTTACTTGAAAATATAGGCATGGGCATACAATACCATTTTTACGGAGTCCCAAAAGTGGCATAGGTGTGTAACAAAGTATATTAATTTTCAAAACTTTATATCAGCATGTAACTGAAAGCTCTATACCAGAAAATATTTGAAAGCATATTTATTGTCAAAACTTTATACTAGCCTATATTTGAAAGCATATTTATTGTCAAAACTTTATACTAGCATATATTTGAAAGCATATTTATTGTCAAAACTTTATACTAGCATATATTTGAAAGCACATTTATTGTCAGAACTTTATACTAGCATATATTTGAAAGCATATTTATTGTCAAAACTTTATACTAGCATATATTTGAAAGGATATTTATTGTCAAAACTTTATACTAGCATATATTTGAAAGCACATGCATTGTCAAACTTTATACTAGCATATATTTGAAAGGATATTTATTGTCAAACTTTATACTAGCCTATATTTGAAAGCATATTTATTGTCAAACTTTATACTAGCATATATTTGAAAGCATATTTATTGTCAAAACTTTATACCAGCAAATATTTGAAAGCATATTTATTGTCAATACTTTATACTAGCCTATATTTGAAAGCATATTTATTGTCAAAACTTTATACTAGCATATATTTGAAAGAATATTTATTGTCAAACTTTATACTAGCATATATTTGAAAGCATATTTATTGTCAAAACTTTATACAATCATATATTTGAAAGGATATTTATTGTCAAACTTTATACTAGCATATATTTGAAAGCATATTTATTGTCAAACTTTATACTAGCATATATTTGAAAGCATATTTATTGTCAAAACTTTATACAATCATATATTTGAAAGCATATTTATTGTCAAACTTTATACTAGCATATATTTGAAAGCACATTTATTGTCAAACTTTATACTAGCATATATTTGAAAGCATATTTATTGTCAAACTTTATACTAGCATATATTTGAAAGGATATTTATTGTCAAAACTTTATACTAGCATATATTTGAAATCACTACAGCATTTCACTAAAAGCATATTTATTGTTAAAACTTTATACAGCATATGTTTCTATGTACATGCTAGAATTTTAATACATATTTTAGGTCAGCCATATATTTTGATATTGCCATTTTGTTCAGATCAACATACATCATTATATAATTGCACATTTGAACTCACAGACTGTATGATATTCCACAATAACAGATCAATAAACAAAATTTTGTTTCTTCAATGTTTATATGTTTGTATAATAATTAAACCTTAAAGGGACTTCACTGAATGGGACAGAAGATAAATGATCCATTTGATGTAGATCTAGACCAATAACTTGTGTGCAAAATTTTAGATCATTTGCTCACTCTGTTTTTCTAGAATAATTATTCTAATTATGAAAATTGATACAAAATTGATCTATGTACAAAATTTAACTTTCATGTATTTTTTAGGCTCTTAAACCTTAGCGACTTCCTTTAACCTACTTGGACCATAATTGATGAGTCTAACCTGAATATCCATGCAGTCTGACCAGGATTTATACTTATGATAGCTTGAGTTTTGTATTTTGATATTGAAAACCCTTAGTCATTAAATGGACTGTTCCAAATTCAGAGCTGGGCAAGTCCATTTTACAAATTCATTAGGTAAAGGGTGAAAAGACTGTCATATAAATATCCAGTTATAAATATTTTAATATATTGTGTTTCAGGAATATTATGAGACTGGTTTTCCTAAGAGTGAGTTGTTTGAGTTTATTGATCAATGTCAGGACCCAGTCCATTCCCCGATGTTTAGGCGAGAGGACACAAGCTGCAGTCCTTTATCATTGTGTTGTTGTTGTGGGTAAGTTGGATTATTGTACCCAAAGTATAGAAATGGGCCCTGTTTGACTGTGTGCATTTCCGGAACTAAATAGGGATGAGGGGAATCTTATTGTAAACAAAACAAAAGAAAAAATAACAATGAAATCAGGGGCCAACTGCCCTCATTTAAACAAAAGATAATAACAAAAGAAATGGTCACTACTTTCATTTTAGTTACACATTTGTCTGTTTGTCACACTTTGTGTCCCTCACCTTCTAGGCATCGAGTCCCGACAGGGACTTTGGATTCTTTCATGTGAGGAAGCTATCCGGCTAGCTTACAGAATGTCAGTGGTTATACTCAGGTGCTTGTTGTGTCTGGAATAATGCACGGATGGGCACCGGAGGTCTTCCTCCGCAAGTAAAGCTTGAACGTTGCCATATGACCTTTACTGTATCGGTGTGACATAAAATCCAACCAACCAAACACACAAACACGTGGTGTCTGGCCCATAACTCAGCCATTCATGTTGAGATTTTTAAATAATGATTAATGATTTTGTCCTGATTGAAAGATAGATAAGTTCATTTAAGATATGTAGGGCAGTAAGGGTTGAACTTCAAACAAACTGTTAATTGCGCATGTTTATGTTTCAGGAGTGATCCAGACAGGCCAAATGAATACACAAGTCTTGTACAATGAGGCAAGTATATCTGTGAGTGGTTGACATGTATAGATGTTAAACTGAAAGATTTACCAAGCATAGACATACAGTATGTTTATGTTCAACATGTTATAATGTGTGCATAAAATATGACATGTAAACACTCAATGACATGTAAACACCAAGAACATGTAAACACTCAATGACATGTAAACACACAGAGAAAGTACAGCTCCACATGAATAAAAAACAAACAAAATTAAAGGGACTCCACTGAGGTTTTTTGACATGATGGGACTGAAAATATTTTTTCCAGATAAATGTACCATTTGATGTAGGTTTAGACCACTAATCTTTGTGCAAAATTTCAGATCATTCGCACACTTTTTTTTTCCAGAATAATTATTCAAATTGAAAAAAAAAAATGACGCAAAATGAAAAGCGTTTAAACGCTTTTCACTCAAATTGGGTTAAGAAAAGCATACAAATACGATTTTTAATTTATTACAAAGTATATTTCTCAACTATCTTTGCATATACATTTGTATTTCTTTTTAAAGTGCCTCAGCTCAGTCATAATCAGACAAGCCACACAAACACGAACATTTAGTAATTTAATTTAATTGCAAACGTTTCGGCTATATGCCTTCATCAGTGCAAAACATAATAAAATTACTGGAAGCGACGTCATAACGGAACACGCGTTAAACGCGCGAAAAACGTTACGGCGTTTAGCGGCAAAACTATGATAACATGTATTATAGCATAAAATCGGCTATTTTTCCCTCTTTTGCCCATGTTATAACGGGGCCAAAACCATGCGTTAACATAGTCACGCGCTCTTGTTATAGCCCGGTTTTACCTATGCGCAATACATACAGGGCCCAGTAAACAAACAAAAAATGACGATTTGGCCTGTTTGCCAGAGTCATGCGCTCTTGTTATATTGGAATTATTTATTCGAGGGCCTCAGTCGCATAACGGCGAACAGAATTCAAGTAATTATGCCGGCAATACGGCGTATAGACATCGCCGCTTAATTATCTTGGTTGTCGCCCTTTCTTAGAAACGGACAGTTGTCAATGTAAACAAATAGAATTTGTCATTCAGTTTAATGACCCCCGATTAACTTACAAAAATGGAAAGCACAAACTGAATATAAGAAAAAAACGTTGTTTTATTGACGTTTATATTGATAAATGTTCTGTATGTTTCTTTGAGAGAATAATGTTTCATGCCTGATTTTTTTCAAACTTGCGGGCTTAAAAAAACCGATTCTGAAATTGAATATGATGTCACTGATCTTTTTCCTACCGCCAATCTGTAATCATTCTAGGAATTTCTGAGGCGCCTGTTTTGTCTTGGGTAGAGTAATGTTATGTTTTTCTTAAGTTAATATATCTCCAAAGTAAAACTTTGTTAAATCAATTAATATTCGAAATTTCGTTCGGTTCTCAAGTTGTTGGCCCCGGAAAAAATAAAACGCATACGTAAAACATGTAGAGTTGGATAAATACCGTTCAAGCACAAGGATTTTATGTTTGTGTTTTATATATAATATACATCATGGATCTGTTTTAAAATTTTATGCTATAATAGCGTCAACGCACGTTTATTTCGTGTTATAAAGTCTGCAGAGTCCCTCGGAACTGTTGGAGCCCTCGCCTATAGACAACAACACAGCTCAGTCATGTAAGAAATTCAAATATTTTGTTTTTAGGCTTTTAAACCTCAGTGGAGTCCCTTTAATTACAGAAATGTGATATAGAATAATAACCTTATAAATTTGTAATAATTACTAAAGTATAATATTAAATGAATTCTATGTGAATCTATTCAATGTGTACGAGGGTAATGATTTGTTTGTTTGTATAAGATTTATTGTTGCTTTGATTTCCTTATAATTTGGATTTTTTTTTTACAAACTAGATATATTAGATATATATATACAGTATATACAGGGGCAGCAAAATCTGATTTTAACCTGATTGCCTGTTTTATGTGAATTATGTTTTACTTGTCAGTATTATATATTATGAAGAAGATTCTTTATAAAAATATCACTTGACTGAAAATGTTTGGGACAAGCTGGGCAATTCGGACAATCGATTTTGCCGCCCCTGTATGTATAGTAAATTTATGATTATTGATCTTGAAAACAATAATATAATAATTTATTAACCAGAACAAACAAATATTTGTATTTTTAATTTTACAGCCAGAAGTCAAGGCCTGTTAAATTTAAGAAACATGACAGAAAATAAAATGTGTGTACATTTATGATAAATAACAAAGTAAGGTGCAAGAAACATTTGTTAATCATCATTTCAATTTGTTATGGTATGTTTTAAAAATTGTATTCTTGTTTGTAGTTTAGTTGTTTGATTTTATGATAACCTTTCAGGGAATTATGGCCTTTAATCAAAATATAGCTGCCACATTTAATTTTCACCATATAGAAACTTCATAAATCATGTTGGCTTTTTATTGTAAAGAAATTATTGCCGTATTTGTTTTTATAGTTAGTCTTTTCATATATTTTTTATCCGTTTGATGTGTAGAAAGAAAAAAAAGAATCATAGATCTAATGTTTTCATTGCATAAATCTGAATGTTTCACTTTCGATATAAAAGAAAAAAATGTGAAAAGAGCCTATAGCTTCCTAAACAAAGTGAAATAAAAATCTGTTTAAACTAATATTTATTTTTTGTAATAAATTGTCAGTGTAAAAGTGACATAATTTATGACATCATGAATTACATCATCTTCAGACAGTTTCTGGGAAACGAAGTCACTGCAAATTTTTACATCATTAGGTGTTTTTTGCTGTGTTTTTAACTCACCTGTCACAAAGTGACAGGGTGAGCATTTGTGATCGCTTTTCGTCCGGCGTCCGGCGTCCGTCCGTAAACTTTTACTTTAAATGACATCTCCTCATAAACCACTAAGCCAATTTCATCCAAACTTCACAGGAATATTCCTTTGGTGGTCACCTTTAAAAATTGTTCAAAGAATTTAATTCCATGCAGAACTCTGGTTGCCATGGCAACCGAAAGAAAAAACTTTAAATATCTTCTTTTAAAAAACCATAAGAGCTAGAGCTTAGATATTTGGCATGAAACATCTTCTAGTGAGTGTCTACCAAGTTTGTTCAAATAAAAGCCCTGGGGTCAAAATTGGCCCCGCCCCAGGGGGTCATTGATTTTCCCTATATGCATATAGTAAAAACTTAAAAAATCTTCTTTTAAGAGAACCAAAAGAGTTAGAGCTAAGATATTTAGCATGAAACATGTTCTAATAAGTGTCTACCAAGTTTGTTCAAATAAAAGCCCTGGGGTCAAAATTGGCCCCGCCCCGGGGGGTCATTGATTTTCCCTATATGCATATAGTAAAAACTTAAAAAATCTTCTTTTAAAGAACTCAAAGAGCTATGGCTAAGATATTTAGCATCAAACATGTTCTAATAGGTGTCTACCAAGTTTGTTCAAATAAAAGCCCTGGGGTCAAAATTGGCACCGCCCCGGGGTCATTGATTTTCCTTATATGTGTATTAGCAAAAAACTTAAAAAATCTTCTTTTGAAAAAACCCAAATAGCTAGAGTTAAGATATTAAGCATGAAACATCTTTTAGTGAGTGTCTACAAAGTTTGTTCAAATAAAAGACCTGGGGTCAAAATTGGCCCGCCCCGGGGGTCATTGATTTTCCTTATATGTGTGTAGCAAAAACTTAAAAATCTTCTTTGAAAAAAAACCCAAATAGCTAGAGTTTAGATATAAAGCATGAAACATCTTCTAGTAAGTGTCTACAAAGTTTGTTCAAATTAAAGCCCTGGGGCTAAAACTGGCCCCGCCCCAGAAATGTCATTGTTTTTAACTATATGTGTATAGTAAAAACTTTTAAAAAAATCTTTTAAAAAGCCCAATGACCTAGAGCTTAGATGTTTAGCATGAAACATCTTCTTATGGGTGTCTACCAAGTTTGTGCAAATAAAAGCCCTTGGGTTAAATTGTCCCTGCAATGTTGGGGGGGGGGGGGTGGGGGGGGCCTATATACAGGTGAGCGACCTCAGGGCCATCATGGCCCTCTTGTTTATAACAAAGCAAGTTATTTCATTAAAACAAAATTGTGGTAAAGTCCTAAAATACTCATATTTTGACTTAAATTTGGTTGATGATTTTTACAAACTGTGTGTGCGTGCGTGTGTGTGTGTTTGTCAGCAACTGAATGAATTTGACACATAAAGGTAGGATTGATAATAGTAAAAAAAATTGTTTGTTCATAAATTATTTTCTGCTTTTTATGTGAGAAATAAATAAACACTGTATAATGATATAGGGCACGTTATTTTAACAATTGTTTAAAAGTGTTCAACATTTAAAGGCCCATTATGCCTGAGAAATGCTATCATTTTTTATTTCTCAAAAACTTTTATTGTTGGTATCTTGTTAAAGTTTTAGAAAAAAATACTCATTTGCCAAATAAATTAACTATCTTTTGCTTTCTTTACTCTGTTTGCAATAAGTATAATTATAGTAAATAAGGATTTTGTATGTGTCAGAATACTATTTTGTTTACATTTTGCTACCTTTATGACACATAACTGCAAGTTCAGTGCTACTTTCTTCAGTTGTAAAACTTCTTGCATTATTAAAACATGATAAACGCATGTTTGACATTTTTTGAAAAGTATTGATTTCTGAGGCATAATGTGCCTTTAAGTGTATAAAAGTTCAGATTTTAACCCTTGCCATGCTAAGAGTTATTTTCTCACAGAAAATGCACCTTTTTATGTGAAAAAAACAACAACTAATATTCAAGATTTTGTTAATAAACAGTTAGTCATTGTAATTAGTTTTATACCAGGATTCAGATAACCTCGATGTTAGTTCAATGTCAACCTCACCTGACAATAGTGATACACAAGAAAACAAACTGGCTTGTTTAAGACCCCATTCTCTTGCCAAAAATGTTTTTTTATACAAAAAAGGAATGTTTATTTATTTATGTATATATTTATAAAATACAATATTTAAAAAAAAACTGCATTTGACAATCGGATCTTCTGGGCCCTTTCTGTCAAACTTCGGATATAATTAATAATAGTCAGATGTTCCTATTGTGTATTGGGTAATTTTGGTACTGACTAATAAAAGTGCAATACAATTTAACATATTTGTATAATATTGTAAAGTTATTTATAATTTTGATTAGATTTTTAGTTTTACTTGATGAAGAATCTGTAAGCCAGTACATGTCAGTAAAGTACTTTTGTTTGTGATATAGTTTCCATTTTATACCTATATTATGATATACGAGGGTTGTTCGGAAAGTTTTGAGACAATATGATTTTCTCTGTTTCTAATTACAGCTGCGAATATTATTTAATACAAATTATAGCTTAATATGTTATTTATCCGAGTTATGTCTTCAAAACGTTGTAACGTTACTATACGGCATATAATCGTTTCCATAGCAACACCTGTCTACGCATCCTGGCGCACGGACTATTTTCTTGTTATAAGTTTTCTTACTGAATAAAAAGATCCCCTAAAATTGTGCCAAACGTCACGAAAATTTTATGACGTCACTTCCAACTTAAGAACGTCATTTCCGCTAGTTGTTTAAGCCGTTACCGCAGATCATTATAGCAATACGTGCGCGACAAGACAACGACTATGGAAACACCGTCAAAAGAGGAACAGCGTGTTTTTATTAAGTTTTGCGTTAATCTTGGGAAAACGCCAACAGAAACTAAGCAACTTCTAGAACAGGCAAACAACGGACGTACTGTTAGTCGACCATTGGTATTTAGATGGCATAAAGAGTTTCGGGATGGCAGAAAGTCAACAAAAGACAAGGAAAGGAGCGGTCGCCCATCCGTCATCGACGATAAACTGACACTTGCAAGAAACGCGCTTCAGTGCGACCGTCGCATAACAGTAAGAGAAGTGCAGAAGTTTGTGATGTAGGTACGGCAAAATGCTCACAAAACATTTTAAATCTGACTGGGTATAAAATGTATTCGCCAAGTGGCGTTATGAGGCATGAGAAAATGTTGTACGTTGTGAAGGAAGATACTTTGAAAAGGAGTAGCAGTTGACTTTTCTACGGTGACGTTAAACTCTGGAAATAACGGCAACGTCGGATAACGTCGTTGCGTGCGCCGGGTCACCGGTAGTGTCTGTGCCTAACGCTTTTGTAGCTTTGTATACATGAAGCTATTGTTATGAAATTTTACACTATAATAGGTGAGGTATTAAAGTAATACATAGTAAACTCTTGTTTGATTTTATCTTTTCCAACGCTAAATATTGACCCAGTCTCAAAACTTTCCGAACAACCCTGGTATATACATGTACATGTACAACAAATTTCTGTCTCATATTAACAGAAGTTTATTTAACAGTATAGAGGTTGTATTGGAAACTTTTTTGATGTTTTATGATATTTTAATACATTGATACATTTTGTATGATAAAGATTATTCCTGACTCTGTGATCTTGACTTGTTAATGTGTAAACTAAGTGTAAACTGTCTTTAAGTGTAAATAAATTATTAGTTTAAAGTGTAATGTTTTGTTGAAATGAACAAATATTACTATATTTTTGTAGTTTCATAAATTGCTATTAAAGATGATATAAATGTTTTGGAGTGAGTTGTGTTGCAACCCAGCCCATTTTCACGTGAATTTTTTCAAAATAGTACTCGCACATCTTTTCAAGAATCCTTAATATCGAGGGTTTACGCAAAACTGCAGTAAATCATATGAAATAAAGAAGGACTTTCAATAGTATTGCGGTCATCCCTTTATGTCTTTTAGTGAAGCTGTACGAAAAGTTTTGTTGGCGGAACTTTTTCTTCAAAAAAAAAAAAAAAAAAACGGAAACAATGTGTTATTTTTGTGACCATCATCCACACTTCCGAGCAAGTACTTGTGATAGTCGAGCGGCCTGTCTTATCGACAGCTCTTGTTTACCTCAAGTCTTTTTGAAAAAAAAACTCTTTACCTTTATGACGAGATTGTTGCATTTCTGAGTAATTGGCGTAAATGTTTCACACGAACTTTTAAAACTATAATCTTGACGTGTTATAAAGGCTAAAATAGTACGTTTTATGTCCACTAAGTATCACTTGAATCATAGTGTGTCTTAGGATGCGTTCTTTGAATATTTTAACAAATCAACCAGAACTTTTCTATAAAAAATCGACTAAAACAATGCCGTTTTCCCCTCATTATGTGCAATATAAATTATGAAATTATTCTAAACAGGCCCAAGCTGTCTCTTGATCGATTAATTATCAGATGGCTGGAACACGTCTGATTTGTACCCATCCGCCAGTTTGTCAGCGGATTTAAATTTGTCTACACTTATGTCATGAATAAACTGAAAACTTGGACTTTAATAGATCACAAAGACATTCAATTTGTGAAAAAGTATATTTACTGTAACATTTTGATTTTATAATACAGTACATGTAATTCAGTCATAAAATACAAACAAACAAAGACGTTAACATAAATATAGCACATGACGTCAGAAAATAAAGAAAATGCTGTTAGGTGATACACCACTGCAGTGTCGTAACTGTTGTACAGCGTTCACCGGAAATAGCCCCTCAAAACACGGTTATTTCCGGTGAACATTGTACAACAGTGGAAATTCTTCCATTATTCTGTCAAAAACATTGAGCAAAACAAGATTGTCACAATATCACACACCCTGTAATGATTTATACAGGTAGCCACTCTCATATTGGGTAACTAACCTTAAACAATTCATTCACATTTTTCAAAATTCCTATTGTTTGATTAAGAACCTTAGAATATTACGGAATTTACATGATATATTTAGACAATATCTATGAAAACTCATTTCAAAATAGGTTCATTACTATCAGTTATTCTAACAACAGATAATGAACTTATTTTTATAAGATAAAAGACACCACGTGTTTTGAACTTTCAGACAAACAAAGACCAAATCCGATTTGTACGGTATTTTAAAGGCAAATGAATTAGAATGCCAAATTATCATAAATTAAAATATTGTTTTACCTTGCTTTAGAAATTTGAACTTCGCTAGCATTCCACAAGTATTGCATTTACGTGAATCAGTGGTCACTTTAAATGAATTCAAAATGAACATTCAATTATTTGGAAGAGTTATAAGATGAACCAAGAACTTAATATGAAAAACACTCCGCATTTACGCATATTTTAAAGTTGTTTTTTTTAAGTCAAATATGTACTAAGCTCAAATTTGATGTTAGAAAATATTGATAATTTCTACACAGTCTCTTTGAAAATATAAAATAAACCTATTTTGACTTCACACAAAGTAGATATGTTTAAAACTCTAAAGGTAATAGGGAACGCAGCTTCCCATGCACAGCTCATTCAGTCTATTATTCAAATTAGAAATATTCAGTAAGAATTTTTTAGATTTCAATAAATTTCTGTGATTAAATATTTAACTTAAGGATGAGCATACTATATTTTAAAGTATATTTTAAAGTCATATACTCCTTATTAAGTGAAGTCCAAATGATATTAATGGTAATGTGGTGTGCAAAACTTTAATTAGCTCAATATTTTCTTAATGGTTTCATGTATACGGCATACAGAATTTTTTGACATAAACAGTAATGGTTAAAAAAGCAAATTAAAATATCTATATTGATATATGTCTACAAGAGACATACTCATCAAAATCCGAGAAATCAGAGTCCAGTAAATCGCTGTTATATTTTCATATAACCATGCCATAATCGATGGCAAATAAAGTGATATGCTCAAATTTACGTGATATGCTCATAAATTTTTGAACGAATTCCTCATGGCGCCGTAAGCTTATGTTTACTCAAGTCGTGGGATTTCTATTATATTTCAATCACGTGACACACTAGTTCCAGTTCCGGTATAACATTTCAATCACGTGATACACTAGAAAAATACATGAATGTCTCACAACCTATATGTTTGAAGAGATGGCCGCCAGCATCAATCAATGCTTATTCTGGCCAGAATAAATAAAGGCACTGGAAATGAAAATAGCATTCAACTGCACGTTTATGTTTCTAAATTGGTTAAATTTACTAGTAATAACGACCTTGCAATACAAATTATTATAGTTATAGCTTGAATTTCAGCAAATTTCGTATAATGTCCAGTGAGCAAAAATGGACACTAGCAACAAGTCATGACTACTACAGCAGAAAAAAAAAGATAATCCGATACAAAACTGAAATGAAATCTGAATGCAATATTTGTTTTTAAAATCTTGTACCATTTATTGTTTATTACTTATACATTATCATTTAAATTTGAGCGTATTTTATTATATTTACACTTTTTACAAATCCTAATTCATGAAAATTGGAGGATGCAAAAGACATTGTTTTGCAGATTTCTCCAGGGAGGAAAGTATCTCAAAGCACTTAATGTACTGGCCAAAAGTTCAGTGATTCGGTGCTCCCTATTTCAGCTGCTCCAAGGGGAAATAACTTGTACCAGGCCATCGTATGCTGGCATAAATCCAAGCTGTCCAGTTTGACCACTGCTTCACCGAGACATTGCTTCTTGTCAAACGTCTTTTGTTTATCCCAAACATTAACCTGGTCGAAATATATTATATTATTGTACATCATCTACAAAGCGACTACATAAAACCCTTTTTAATGCTTTAAATATTTCTTTGTGCTTTGTAAATATAAAATATATAAAATCCATCCTTGCAAATTGAATAAATCGGAAAAAGCATCTAGATGTCCATATTGACAATGTTTACTGTTTACTTTTAACTTCTGAAAGAAAATGCATTGGTAACTGAAATAAATCATGTGTAAATCTATAAATTACTTAAAACATTTTTGATTGATTGTGTAACAATCAGATATGGAAAATTTTGCTATCAGAAACCGTTTTCAAAACGTTTGTATCTCCTTATGTATATTTTATTTAACAATTTTTGCCAATTCTGATATCGATGAACAGTAAAACACATTTTTATATTGATATGATAATATTGTATTACCCTTATATAGCGACCATGTATATTACAGGCAGAATATCGAATTGTTTTCCTAAATATTGGATCATAACTCATCCGTACAGTTTGTGTCTTCTTCTTTTGTACAGTCTTGGACCCTTCTACCAGATACGTTTTAACATAAGTATCTGAAACATAACATTTTTTTGCGATAACTAATATCATTATTATACTGATATCTAATACATCATAAAATGTAACCAATGACTGTCCAGCTTTTGTACGATGTGATCTCTTAAGTCAGAGTAAAAAAATCATATCAAATCTTTATTGTAGCTCTAATCGAAGTAACAAATCTCTGTGAAAATGTCAAATAATTAAGGGGTGTGAAATGAAGATGTTATTTAACTATATTTAATTACATATTGTTGAGGAAAATACTGATTTTATTGAATTCGTATGCAGCTGCATAACGTACATTTGTAGACGGTTAGTGCATCGCCCAATATAATTATGTTTCACAAAATTTTACTCGTCCAATAGAATTCGATCAGTATTGTACTCAAAAATTTGCAAAACCTCATAATATAAAGCATCCAGTTATACACATCATTTGATATCACCATTGTAGCAACGCTATATGTCGCAACGCCGCTATATGTCGCAACTAACGCTGCAACGTTGCGACATTTAGCAGTAGGCGATTGCGACATATAGCGTTGATTGCGACATATAGCGTTAGCGTTGCGACATTTAGCGTTAGTTGCGACATATAGCGGCGTTGCGACATATAGCGTTGCTACAACCATCGTTTGGTTTTCGCTTTAACAAATAGTATAATTATATTTAATAATACACTTTACTAGAGATATCTATATATAAGAGGTATACTGTATATTTGAGCCGCGTCACGACAAAACCAACATAATGGGTTTGCGACCAGCATGGATCCAGACCAGCCTGCGCATCCGCGCAGTCTGATCAGGATCCATGCTGTTCGCTATTAGCTTCTCTACTTGTTATAGAGTTTGTAAGCGAACAGCATGGATCCTGATCAGACTGCGCGGATGCGCAGGCTGGTCTGGATCTATGCTTGTCGCAAACCCATTATGTTGGTTTTGTCGTGACGCGGCTCATTTTTATTTTAACAATGACTTGACAAGACGCTGATAAATACCTGGTGGAGTGGCAAGCCCAGATTTCATCAAGCCTTTAACGACAACAACATCAATTTCAAGCTGACCTTTCGATACCATAAAACCCATCTTTATATCACCACGCACATTCGTCTCTAAAATCAGCAACATCAATATGTAATTACATGTATATAAATTAGTTCAGTGGATATAGTTTTAAAGATGAGATGTTGTGCAAAAAGACACACTTTCAAGGTACATTAACATATAAAAACATTCACTACATGAACATTTACATGCAGCGATCGCAACCGTTGGCAGATGTATTCAAGCGTATAAAAATAAGAACAAATATATTAAAGACAACGCAATTATTACTGATGTATTCACGCGAGCAAAATATTGACAGATGAAATCACGCGCACACAAATATTGACCACTGTATTCACGCGCACACAAATATTGACAGATGCTTCTATTCGCACGCAAATATTACTGATGCATTTACGCACACACACATATTGACAGATGCTTTTACGCGCACGCCAAAATATTACTGATATTGGTTGCCCAGTTAATCACGGAGCGCCCACATACATATTGACAAATTTGTATTTCACGCGGAAATAAGCAATTTCAGATTTTGAGATATACATAAATCATTAAAATTTTGCAAAGGTATACACGTGCGCATTTCCATGTGAAGTATTGTACCACAAGCAGATGTATACATGCGTCTTTAATGTACATATATGTTATAAAGTCAATCAAAATATAAAGTATATTTAATATGTATTTGTCAACAAGGAAGTCCACAATCATGATAATAAAATGATATTGATATATAATTCTGCATTAGCCGGTGCTAGCGTGCATTTTCCAGTACCGTCAATCAAACCTAGACTGCAATAGTATGAATTTTGTCGTTTTGGAATTCCGTTTTTTCTCTTATTTCCTCATACTTTGATCCTTGAACAAATATAAACTATTAATTGGGAACAACATAATATCATAATCATAATCATTTTTCAGTGTTTGTTTTACTAGATAATTACTTTGATTTTTAAAACCATACAGTATCATTAGAATATTTTCATATTTTAACTAATAAGATATTACATAATATCTAATGTTGGAGATGTGGAAAGGTTTAACAGCTCTTACCGTATGAAGGTTTAGGAGGTATTTGTCCAGGTCCAAGAAGGGAGGTAATATCATCTCCTTCCGGTGCTGGTCTGTCAGGATTAGGACTTCTAGATCTAACAGTTGTTGAAAACACAAAATATATATCGTTTTAAAGGACGATGAAATATAGATAGTTTTAATGCTGAAATTAAACAACGATCTTAAACAAAATGTATCTGGAATATTGTAAATTTATTGAGTTCGAATAAAGACATTATCATGGTAATCAAAAGAAAAATTTATTGCACTATCAAATGTGTGTTTTGAATATGCTTAAGATGATGGTGATTAAGATTATAATGATAAACATAATAATGATGATGATGATGATAAAGATGATGATGATGATGATAAATAGGAAGAAACTGACAATAATTTTGATGATGGTGGTGATGACAAAAAAGATGATGCCGATGATTTTGATGATGATGATGATCAAGAAGAAGATGCTAACGATGATTTTGATGATGGTGGGGATGACAAAGAAGATGATGGCGATGGTTATGACGTTAATGATGACAAATAGATTTATGTAAATCATGTGAAGTGATATTTTTAAGAATAATATACATTTCACTTACGATTCCCTGTCATCAAAAAATGTGTTTACAGGACTGTTGGAAAGGTTCAATGGGTGGGGAGGCGCCAACAGCTCATATCGTTCTGTAAGATAAATATTCATTTCATACAATTACTTAACGTGATGCTATATTGTTTCAAACAATTTTCATACATAATTATTTGTAACCATTCTTTTTTAACAAAACAACAAAGTTTCTTTTCCATGTCTCATCAAAATTATAAAATATGGGAGATCCGTCAAGAGAAATGAAAACTGATTTTAAAAATGATAATTGCAGACTTGGTTTGAATGAGTCTGTTCAAGAGAGATAATGTAAGATCCAACATCAGAGATCCCCAAGCACCGGCTGCAGCAGTATTCAATCTTAAACACAATAAAACTCACCGGCAAAATGTTTGCGACTTCTGCTTAAGCCGGTGCTAGGGGGCGTGGACGAGGCTTGGAATTATTACTTATGTATATGAATAGGCTTAATCAAACCAAGTTTGCAACATTTTCAATTTTGCCGTGTTTTGGATTCTCTATTTTAAGAGAAAAAACCCTGATAAATCGTAAATAAACTCGACACTTGAAATCATATGAATTTTATGTGTCACAGAGTTCTTTTATAAAATTTTTTAAAATTAAAATTTAATTGAAAAAAAAATTTTTTTTTGAGAAAACCCACTAAACAAAAAAAAAAGGGTTTAAAGGAAAATTTTTTAAATAAAGTTAACTTTTACGGGGACTCCCACTCGAACGAACGCCTTTGGTTTTTTGGCGGTGGATGGGGCGGGGGTTTAAAACAAGCTGAATCTCTGACGTCTTTTCACTCTGACTCCTTGTTCATTAAAACCTCGCCCCGCTTGTAAAACCCGAGGACAGTTGTGCTTAAATTAAAATCAAATTGGTTCAAATGTTAGTTAACTAGTTGAAAATATTGTTACTAAATGTTAAAAAAAGGTCTCTTAAAAAAAATCCACTGAGGAACAAAAACCTTTAACACCAAAAAAATTTAAATTTCTTCCCATAAACAACTGGGGCACATAAAGCAAAATTATAGCCAAAGGATGTTTTTGGGCAAAAATATATAAGAAAAAAATTTAAAAACTTTAAATAAAACATGAAAAAGGGGGAAAAAGAGGCAGAAATTTTTTTTAAAAGGGTTTGTTTTTAAACCCTAACCTGGGTCTTTTCCCCAAAAATGGGGGCCCCTAGATTTTGAAGATAACCTGGCGACCGAAAACCAATTTTTCTTTTCCCCAGTACGTAAAAATTTTACTCGTCATTTTTAACAAAAAAATTTTTTCATTATTTAAATGTTAGCTTTTTTTAAAGCTGAAAGTTTTTAAAATTAACGGGCAAAAATTTTAAAACTTTTGCATAAAAATTTTGCCAAAATACATTATATCAAAAATTATTTAAAATTTTTTATTAATTTAAAAAAATTATTTTGTTATCTCTTTTTGGGTTCCCATATAAAAAAATTTTTTTACTTAAAAAAAATTTTTCAAAAATTTTCTTTTAAATAATCAAAATTACTTTTCACATATCAAAAAAATATATAAAAACATATCAAAATTACTGTCACCTATTCAACAGTACTATCACGTATCAAAATTACTAACATATATAAATTTACTGCCACATATAAAAATTGTTAACGTAACAAATTACTCTCACGTATCAAAAGTACTGCCACATATCAAAAGTACAGTCACATATTAAAAGTACTGTCACATTATTAAATAATTAACGATCGAATCAAAAATAACTGTTCCCATGTTCAGTACTGTTCAGATAATCAAAAAAATACAAGTCACGTTTAGTTCAAATCATTGTCATGCATCAATTTTTAACTTTTTAAAAAATTTCCTGTTTTAATTTTTCAAAAAACATTGTTTTTCCCATAAACCCAAAATTTTACTTGTCACTATATAAAATTACTTGTCGCATTAAAATAAAAATTTCTACATACATTTTTAATTTTCACCATAGAAAATTTAAAATTTAATCATTTATCAAATTTTTTATTAAAAAATTACAGTCACTCATAAAAAATGACTGTCACTTTTATAACATTTAACTTTTCACTTTTTAAAAAATTTAAAACTTTCAAAAAAGTTTTAAATTTTGGAAAATTTAAAGAAGGCAATACACATGGAAGAATATGATTTATGAGGTTTTACATTCAGTGCTGGTGGGGTGAGTGTAGAGGTGATGAATTTTGCCGAGGGGGGAGAAGTCGTGTTTGGGTTCTCGACCAAACAATACTAACTAAAAAAGGGCTTATACATTTATACATAAAATAACCAAAAAAGGAAAACGAACCCTTTTTAGCGGTAAACATCGTTTATTTCGGGTAATATCGTTAGAATTCCGAATCTTTCGGGAGTTTTCATATGAACTATTTTTGTACAATTTTGTCACGTGAGAGGATATTTTCCACTGTGACGTCATTATTTAAAGAATTCCAATATGACAGCTCGCATAAATGGTCATTAGGGTTCGTAATCCTTAAATAAAAGTTTGTATAACCACAAATGTAAATGTATTCAATGTGTTTTATTAATTTTCAATAAACATTTATTTCTAATTGCATCATGCACTGCAGCTTATCAAGAACACTCAAGCATGAGAAGAAACAATATCTTGCTTTTAAAAAGGACCGTTTAACAAAGGGGTTATCAAAGTGAAACAATAAAAACAAACATGAACTTTTTAATATATGTTTATCATTAAAAATATTTATTTATCTTGAGCTAATATGAGATGAAACAAATACATGGTTAAGTATTTCTTTATTGCTGTCAATATATTATTGTTGTCGTACATAACGTATTGCTGCCAACAATGTTATTGCACACTTAGTAACATAATTATATATATATATATATATATATATATATATATATATATATATATATATATAATATATATATATATAATATATATATATATATATTATATATATATATATATATATATATTATATATATATATATAAGCTTATATCAAAAGTTACAATTGTAATCAGTTCTTAAAAAAAACCCATATTTTATACGATTTCAACGGAACAATAAAAACATAGACTTGGAGATATGTGACACATACATGGGCTTCTTTTCCCTTGAACTAGGAACTCTTTTATTTTCTCGTGTGCTGGTGTAAGTGACAATTTGCGTGCGTTGGCTTCCTTGCCGGCTACTGACACGGACGACCTGGGAGATGGATCCCTGCTAGGATCACGGCTCGGGTAATAACTAGACGTGTCGATAGATGTTACAGGACTAACAGCCGAGTCCGACAAAGAAAACGACTTTTTCCTTTGATTTAAAAAAAGAAAAAGAATAAGAAAATATAAAAAAAATTGTACAAAGTACGTACAAAAATGTAAAATATGCATTTTGTTAATCTATGCAGGAAAATGTAAAAAAAATATGTACAGTCTAAAAAGACATAATCTAATGACAAAACTAATCTATTGTAGACGAGTGGTCTTGAAACATTCAAGTTTCATCGGATATTTAGAAACTGCTTATTATATAAGTACAGAATTTGTAAGAACTTTGGCAAATATTGAATACTTTTGAATATTTTTTTTATTTATTATATATCTATGTAGAAATAAAAAACACTAACCGGTAAGGTAAAGGGGAGCTATTCTCGTCGTGATCTTCTAAATGGTAACATTTCACAGATTTGTCTATCTTGACTTCTCCGAGATCAAGCAGTACCTCGCCGAGAAATTCATCCTCCGGTTCCCGGAAGTTCCACACCGTTACCTCCAGGGCCAAACATTTCAGCTTATTTCAAATATATATACATAAGTAAGTCTACAGCGTTATCTAAAACTATCGTGGACCTAATTATAAATAGATAACAATCTATTTGAATCTATGATTTAAGCGGGAAAAAAGATGTTAATTTTATCGGGTTCTTGCTGAGTTATATAATATCATAATAAGTTACAATGTATGTATTTCATCCCAAAATATAACAGCAGTTTTTACTTTAGTCTGTTACATAACTGATACTGTAACATACTGAACCAGTAAAGAATACTGATTGACATCAATGCAAAAATTGTAATCTCATTTATTTTCAAGGCAAACATTACTGATTTAGAGATTTATTGTGACATTTATCAAAGTAAAAGAAAAAGAGTTGTTAAAGTCGCTGACTTTAAACCACTCGCTCTTCACCGCTTTGAGTAGAATCCCGACATTGACATTGGATTCTTTTATGCAAAGAATCTATCCGGCTAGCTTTCTCAGATGCGCCCGCTCGTGCCAAAAATAATGAAAGGAGGGTACGTCACGCCTGACCTTAGTCTACCCGTAAAAGTGGATAGACGCACGTCACCGATGTAGCCTTAAACACAACCAAAAGAAGAAAAAAACAACTTACCTGGTTTTGATCTATATTTGCGAAGACAAATGTTTCATTCCAGTTTGGATCTTTGGTATTCAGTTTGATGTCACTTTCTTTGGCTTCGTGGGCGCTATATAAAAACATTATGTTATATTTGCAATATCATCACATTCGTGGGCGTTATATAAAATATTATGTTATATTTGCAATAATATCACGTATAAAACATTGTGTTGTATTTGCAATAACATCTTATACACTTGTAACACGACTCAAAGCTTATGTTGAGAAATTCTAGAAATCATGCTTATCTTGAAACTCATTAATCGTTCAGAGTTTGTTCTCATTGTGTACTGTTAGCACATATAAAGACTTTCGTTCTATGCCGTTGAAAATAGGACAGTAGAACACGGCGTATTATGCCAATCTTGCACAGTCTTTATATATTGTTTTTTTCCGGATTTGCATTGTCTTTGCTTTTAATTATTATGCAAGTCTGCTTTAAAATATTATCTCAATTTGACATAAAGCGATTTATAAACGGATAGCGGATTATATCAAATTGACATTTAAAGCCGCAGATGCGGAGACTATGGAAGGACTGAAAATCACGAAAAAACAAACAGAAACATAATAAAAGACAGAACCAAATCGTTCAGATGAGACAGTAAATATATCTTCTTAGCTTACTGTCTGTTTGGAAGAAGATGTAACATAGCCAAGGCGTTGGGGTCATGACCTTCACCATGAGTCTCGGAAAGAATGTCCTCACCCCGTAGTAATACAACAAGTAAACAATTACAGTTGACGTCATAGTCAATCTGTAGCCATAATCGCCCGTTTATTTTCTTTACGTCCCTTTTTATTTCAACCTAAAGAATACAAAGTATATTATAATATGTAATAAGGATACAAAAGCTTTACAAAATAATCAGCAAATTAAATAAATAAATAAATAAATAAAATGTAACTGTTAGAAATAAAGAATACTTTACAATAACAAAATTGTGACCATCTTTTGAAACGTTAGTAGGCACCATTTCCTTTTTTCTTATTAAGTACATTAAATAATCTGTTGGGATTTTTTTGTCGAGTTAATCATTATAAAATCCCTTATAGTATATTACATATTCTTAAAGTTTGTATATGACTCAACTCAAATGTTTTAAATCAGCAAACTTCTTAATTCTTTAAAAAACAAAACAAACAAAAACAACAAAAACAAACGAACGACAACAACAACAACAACAACAACAAACAAACAAAACAATAAACGGTATATACAAACGTATAACTTACAGGAGTTTTAGGTAGCAATCTTCGTTTAGGGCGAGCAAACGTAAGCGTATCTGGTGGCAAGGAACCTTCCATCGGCACAGTCTCTAAACAAGATAAATACAAATAATTTTAGTGACATACGTGACAACAATATAAAAACATATAACAATTAATATATCACCCAGCCTATTAGACATAATTATCACCCACATGAATAGAAAGATATGCATGTACGTATGTCTTCACCTTAAATATTTTTTCTAATAGGAATGACATTACACCCAAATAACTGAACAAAAACAATAGAATAACTAACTTATAGTTTGTTTCAACTTTCAAGTTTCATTAATAAGATGACTGATCAAAATAGTTTATGTATATACAAGAAATTGTACATTAGGCCTCAGAAATTTTTTTTATTCTTTAGAATGGGCAAACATGATTTTTTTCTAAAAGTTTAAATTATAATTTTAGAGCTAAGTTAATTGCTTGTTAACTGAAGAAAGTAGCGATAAATGTAAAATAAAATGTACCAAAAAGTAGTGAAATGTAAACAAAGTAGTACTATGACTTCCATACAAAATACAGTCACTATAACTGTGGTACAAATTGCCAAAAAAGAAGCAGACGACAAAAAACAGTTCAGGTAATTGGCCAATGAGTAATTTTATGAAAACAACTAGAACTCCGCGAGTCGGATGTGTCGCCTTGTGAACAATATAGTTTAGGAGAAATGGCCAGGACAAAAATGAAATATGAAAAATAACAAAGGGCAATAACTAATAAATTAATAAGTGCAGAGCAGCAGTTTCTGTGCACTGCACTTCTTATCAATAAGATCTATCATTCTATGATGTTTCAAGTCCATATCTTTTATAATTTATGAGAAATAGCCTGGACAAAAATAAAGTATGAAAATTAATAAAGGGTAATCACTCACAAATAAGAAGTGCAGAGTACCGGTTCTTGTACACTGCACTTTTTCTTAATGAGATCTATCATCCTAGTCCATAGCTTTCATACTTGAGGAGAAATGACCAGGACAAAAATAAAGTAAGAAAATCAACAAAGGGCAATAACTCAAAAAATAAGAAATGCAGAGTATCAGTTCTTATGCACTGCACTTTTTCTTAATGAGATCTATCATCCTATGAAGTTTCAAGTCCATAACTTTTATACTTTCGGAGAAATGGCCTAGACAAAAATTAAATATGAAAATTAACAAAGGGCCATAACTCAAAAAATAAGAAATGCAGAGTACCGATTCTTGTGCACTGCACTTCTTCTTAATGAGATCTATCATCCTATGAAGTTTCAAGTCCATAGCTTTTATACTTCAGGAGATATAGCCCGGACAAAATTAAAGTATGAAAATAAACAAAGGGCAATAACTCAAAAAAAAAAGAAATGCAAAGTACCAATTCTTGTGCACTGCACTTCTTCTTAATGAGATCTATCATCCTATGAAGTTTCAAGTTCATGGCTTTTATACATTAGGAAAAATGGCCCGGACAAAAATGAAGTATGAAAATTAACAAAGGGCAATAACTCAAAAATTAGGAAGTGCAGAGTACCGGTTCTTGTGCACTGCACTTCTTCTTAATGAGATCTATCATCCTATTCAGTTTCAAGTCCATAGCTTTTTTAGTTGAAGAGAAATGGCCCGGACAAAATTAAAGTATGAAAATTAACAAAGGGCAATAACTCAAAAATTAAGAACTGCAGAGTACCGGTCCTTGTGCACTGCACTTCGGATTATTGAAAGAAGCATGCATACCAAGTTTGAAGTCAATCAGTCTTATAGTGACTGAGTTATGTTCCGGACAAGCTTTAGGGGACGCCGACAACGACGCCGACAACGACGCCGACGCCGCCGACACAGACGCCGCCGACACCGCCGACAAAAGTAACACCTATATGTCGCCTTTTCAAGGCGACACAATAAAAATGTACCCAAAATAAAAGCTTTTGAGAAAAAAAAGCCATTCTAAAACTAATGGGCCTAATTATTAAATTTATTGCAATCAGTCGAGAAAATTATAAGAAAAAATATAAAATCATTTTTGTTTCACGGATTCTTCTTTTCAGGATTAGTTACGAGTGATTAAAACTGAAACATCCACAATAAGATGCCTAGATAAATATACATGTATCATGTTTGCACATACCGGATTTAATAATTATGGGATGATTTCTTCTCAAACTTTGGTTACTACCACTTCTGAAAACACAAATTAGTTGATTGAAGAATTATATAATATTATATCTGTTGTACAATATTGGAATGAATGATAATATTATTACTGATAGATCCATATATTCCATTTTTTCATTACAATGTCGAAAAATCACTCTGTTCTAGAAGTACAGAAACTTAAGCGAGAATTATATTATATATTACAGAGCCCCGTGAATTATTGAAAGCTGGAGGGACATACTTATTTAAAAGCCCATTGAATTACAGAAATCTGGAGCGAGAAACTTACTTCAGAGCCCCTTGAATTACAGAAATTTGGAGCGAGAAACTAACTTTAGAGCCCCATGAATTATTGAAATCTGGAGCGAGAAACTTACTACAGAGCCCCGTGACTTATAGAAATCTGGAGCGAGAAACTTACTTCAGAGCCCCATGAATTATAGAAATCTGGAGCGAGAAACTTACTTCAGAGCCCCATGAATTATTGAAAGCTGGAGCGAGAAACTGACTTCAGAGCCCCATGAACTACAGAAAGTAGGAGCGAGAAACTTACTTCAGAGCCCCATGAACTACAGGAAGTAGGAGCGAGAAACTTACTTCAGAGCCCCATGAATTATAGAAATCTGGAGAGAGAAACTTACTTCAGAGCCCCATGAACTATAGAAATCTGGAGAGAGAAACTTACTTCAGAGCCCCATTAATTATTGAAATCTGGAGAGAGAAACTTACTTCAGAGCCCCATGAACTACAGAATGTTGGAGCGACAAACTTACTTCAGAGCCCCATGAATTAAAGAAATCTGGTGAGAGAAACTTACATTAGAGTCCCATGAACTACAGAAAGTTGGAGCGACAAACTTACTTCAGAGTCCCATGAATTATAGAAATCTTGGAGCGAGAAACTTACTTCAGAGCCCCATGAATTATAGAAATCTGGAGCGACAAACTTACTTCAGAGCCCCATGAATTATAGAAATCTGGAGCGACAAACTTACTTCAGAGCTCCATGAACTACAGAATGTTGGAGGACAAACTTACTTCAGAGCCCCATGAATTATAGAAAGCTGAACAATGCTTCCTGACTGGTTGATAATTTCTTGAGCCTCTTCAAATGTAACATCGAGTAACGATCTGCCGTTCCATTCCAACACTTGGTCACCTTCATAAAAAACCCAGTAATAATCATTTTTGAAATGGCAGATATTATTACTTGGTCAATCAATCAATTCACGAAAATATTGTTTTGAGGAGAAGGGGTTAATGAACTATTTAAAAAAGTTTGAGTGGATCACGTTTATATTATACATGTAGCAGATTAAAATTTAATAAAATCGAATTAATTAACGTATAGTGTTACGATTGCTAAATATTTGCAGCATTGTTAATGAATTGCCAAAGGTTTCCAAAACAAGAACTGCTTTTTTTCTTCTTTTTTAATTTTATTTCTTTTCCTATGAACAAATAAAATTATGCTCATTGTTCTATCAATGTGACTTAAACTAAACTACAAAATCAATACCTTCGGCTATACCCTGCCTATCTGCCGGACCTTCTTTTGACACCATAGTGACGTAAGCACACAGACGACCATTAGACGCTCGTTTTCCTCCGACAACGCGCATTCCTAAACCTTGCGCTAAATAAACAAAACTCATCATTGTATCTAAAACAACTTGTTTAAACCTTTTAAAATTACTCCAGAACTATCTCTTTTCAAGAAATTCAAGAATGCAATTGATCTGTGCGTCATTACAAAAAAAGAATACAAAGGTGTAAATTGAATAATAATCGAATTAGGAGTTAAATAGCTAAAAGTTCATAATAAAAACTAGGTATCAAAAAGTTTATAATGAAACCAGGTGTTAAAAAGTTAACAATGGAATTTAGTGAATGCAACCATAAGTCGAAAAGTTCATGAATGAACTAGGTTTTCAATGTTCATAATATATATACGTGCCAATGAGTTCATAACGGGACTAGATACAGAACTAGGTCTCAAATAGTTCATTATAGAACCAGGTGTCAAATAGTTCATAGTGGAATAAGTTGTCAAAAAGTTCATCATGGAACTAAGTATCAAAAAGTTTATAATGGAACTACAATGCAGGTGTCAAAAATAATGAAATTAGGTGTCAAAAAGTAAGTGTAAGATAGTTGAGATGGTTAAAATGGTGTCAAAAGTTCATGGTAAGTTTTGATGAACAAATTGAATTGGAACAGTTACACATCTTGATATTTTAAAAGTCATGTGTCTTATAAACTATTTAAATCATGTAAAATGAACTCATTTGAACCACCGATATCTGGATATGTCAGAATAGATGATAAAGTATTAAAATCATTAGTAATTAATATAATGAAATAATCAATCAAATATAATTGATTGAAACATTAAGTTGTACGTGTATGTGTAATGTTATTTTTACCCACACAAGCATATACTTACTTCTTATGGAGTGATCTCGCTTATTTCGATGAATGATAATTTGGTGTGAACTTGACGGAGAATGACTCGATTGTCCTGTAATTATAATAATACTGTATTATATTGACCACGCATATATGTATACAATAATAAATATAAAACAATTTGTGAGTTATTGACAAAAAAGGAGGCAAAAGGAGGCATCTTGAAAATAATTGCTCCTTAAAAAAAAGTCTGCGAGGAAATAAAGCGCCTATGGATTTGCAGTTTATTCATATAAAAAATATAACAAGCTATATGTTTTTCTTCTTTTTCTTTTTGGATTTGGTTTTGAATAAAAACGAAATAGTAAAATCCATGTGGCGACTTCCCAACTTTATTACAGGAGGAAGACCTCATAGGCCTCTTCGAAAACGATAGGACATCTTGGTAGAACCACCGACATTCTGTTTAATTAACTGAGTACATTCCACAATGAATGAATACATGTTGAAGACTCTTACAGGATTCAAACCAAAAACAGTGAGTGACAAGTGATGCGAAATGAGAAACCTTTACTACTTAGTCATGGACGCCTCTAAAATTACCTGCCATTCATCTAACTTATAACTAATATCACTATTAATCACGCACGAAGGCAATTATTTTTTTTAATGTAAACTTTATCAAGCATGGCTAGTTAAATATGTCATTTATAGGGAAAAAAAATCCCGAAAAACCCTATCATAAAGGTATTTTCCATTTTGATTTTTATTTTTAAAAGCTTTTTAAAAAATTTTTAAAGACTTCCTTTTCGCTGGGAAAAGTCAAATTAATACAGTTGGGAGTGTCCCTTCTTTTGGGCTATATGTTAAACCCCTTTAAAGCATCGTTACCAAAGGGGAAACCCCTTTCATTAAAAGTTGAACTCATCTTGGGAGAAAACTGGGGCCAGCTCTCTGTAGTAAAACCCCCCCGTTTCTCCTGTAAAAAAAGGAGGGGAGATCCCCTTTAACATACGGGCCCTTTTAAAAAATAAAACGCAATTTTTAAATATATTAAAAGCTAGTTTTAAGGGGTGATTAAGGAATTTTGGAAGATTTTTTAAAGGGTTTTGGGAATAAAGGGGATTTTAAATTTTGGGGCTAACTTTTTTTCCATTGATATCATTAGGTTATAACGTAAATATCATACAAATGTTCATCAGATCTGTATACTGCCAACGTTTTGCACAACGCCTAAATTTATACTTGGCCAAAATTTGGTGGATAGAATATATTCACGACTTCTCATATTACTGTAAGATTAGTTTATACATACAACAAGTTATTTAAGTTCGATTGAGACACATGTTCGAATCCGTTCCTGGAACCAACCAGTACTGAGCAATAAATGTATAATGTCTTGTTCAAGGAAGCCACGGCCTGCACCTGGCGGGTTTTGAACCCACGCGACTAGAGAATTACTAGTCCGACGATTAAACTCCCGCTTTACACGTTTTTAACGTCGAATTTCATTGGACAATCGTGTCGTATAAATTTCTTAATACAGTCAGACACGTTTGCGAGGATTGAGTATGATTGTAAAATTTGTTACTTATCTGATGTTTACTTTTTACTGCTAAATGTTGGGTATTGTTATCATTACAACATGCATAAAATAACTTGTTTTGCTTATAGATTATTAAATGTAAATTGTGAAATACTGATATGTACATGTGCATTAAAAATAACCCAACAACATCGAAATTTAAAAAAATAAAAATAAACAAAAATTTACTACCCATTTTTAATTTTGGAAAATGTTTTAAAAGGGGTAAAGGGATTTAAAGTTAAGATAAATTTTTTCCAAACTATTTTTGGGTTTTGAAAAAAACCTTTACCCCTAGCCTTTTCACAAACGTTAAAAAACTCCCATTCTGGGCCCGGGCAACAACCCCCAAAAATGTCGCAAACCTCTTTTTGGGCCGCTATATTGGCCGTTCAAAGTCGCAATGATGGGGCCGTTAAAATGCCGATCAGTTTCCGTTACGTTAATTGTCACAACATTTACCGTTAAATGTTTTTTCGGCAATTTTTTTTCTCGCAATATACTAAATTCATGTTTAAAACAAGCTTTGTATTACTAGTATGTCTATATTAACGTTATGTAGGTGATCTGGGGACTAGCAAAATAAAAAAATAGGAAAGGATCTGCTGTGATGTACAAAGTCATTGATGGACATTGAATGTATCTTAGTCGGTATTATAAATTGACGACCACAAGTCATGCCAAAGAGCCCCTTGGTGATAAAAAAACATTTGTATACGTTTTTCATTTAGCAACCCAGATGTCGTGGATTCAAGCTACGACGTCAGCTCGAGATAGATCCAACACACCGAGAAGTTTATTCAAGAAAGATTCAATTAAACTCAATCTTAGTTCAGAATTTTTTTATTTTTTGTGTCGGCCTTTCACCTACATGTATGTTTGCCTGTGGTTTTATCGGCATTTAAGGTTTTATACTATATTTGCTATTATTTTGCCACTATCAGATTACAGTTTTACAATTTCATTGATGCACTCATCACCCAGTGTGTCTATTCTTGAGAATGTTATGAATGCTGTCGTTGTAGGCAGAAATGAATTTTCTAAGATGACGAAAATGCTCTGAAACTTGCTAACATTCCGACAAAAATCAACCCCACTCTTTTGTTATTGTTTTATTCGTAATGTACCTTTTATCCGCAACTGAGGCTTTGAACTATCTTTGTAAAAATCTGTTGACAGAAACAATGTTAATGTGAAAGGTGCATCGAAAACCATTTTATTGACATGTAGTTACAGGACAATACAAGATTCGGTACGACCAAATGTTCCTGTATGTGTAAGTAATCTGTTATGAGACTCACTGTTGTTATACTTTTAGATAGTGTGAAATGGCATTGAATTGATGGACTCCGTGTGATTTGAAATTAAGTTTACTGTGTATCATTAAAAAGTGCTGTTACTTTGGTTCATCTATCATATTGATAACTTTTCCATCTTGAGAAAATATAATAAATGAAAGTTTAAAGCCATATGCTATTGTTACATAACCATAAAGGCAGATTGAAAACTGTGTATTAGAATTTATCTAAATTTTACTTTGAAAGAGCTTAGCTCGAAAGTAGTTGTTTACATATATGACTTCTGTTAACAACACTGCACACATGTATTCCAGGCTGCATATCCTTGCAGACTGAACCAGCTCTGTACTCATAGATGACTCAGGTAAGATAATACTTGCAAATATGTACAGTCTTACCAGTGTCAGAATTGTCGGCTGCTCAAGTTTAAATATTTTTTTCGTGCAGCCCATCACACTACCTTTTTTATTACAAGTAGAATAAGTCGAATAGGGAATTAAATGCGTACTTTGCAAAAATGCCCCCAGGTTAACCGTTAATATAAACAAAGTGTGAAATATACCTCCGATATCTAATGCATGTGAAACGTTTTAGAAACGTTCATGCTTTGCAAAATTAAGATTATTCTGTCATATACAAAGATTAAAAAGTAAAAATATCTTAAAACTAAAAATTTTCCAAAAACTTAAATATGATCTTCTCAAAATTTAATAGCGGACTTAAATGGACGTAAACTGATACCCGTTCGGTTTGCATTACTATCGTTATATATAAACCAATTCAAGATATATCTGTTAAAATTAGCTTCCTTATCAATAGCAATAAGGCAATGGCATTATTTTTAAGTCTGCCCTTTAAAAAAGGGGCGGACAACTATTTGTCCCTTTCTCGTAAGAGAAGGGGGATTCCTGTGATGCGTGTATGTGGTCGCACGGTCACTTTTCCTACATGTCCTCGATGCATGTATGTGGTCGCATGGTCGAAAATCTCAAATAAAACGACAATGTTTTCAAAAGGTGTAACCGGTTTTGCAAAATTCTAATATTCTAAAAACACTTTTTGAAAACGTTATATTGAGTTTTTAAAGGTTCTTTGTTACCTCTTAAAGTCACATTGTTACTACATGTATTAATAAGAAGTTTAGTTATAAAGCCTGTTAATAAGAAATAAAAGAGATATTAGGAGCAACTTTAAAACTCTAAGCGTAAAATTAAAACCTAATTTGAACTTTGTACCTTCTTATAAGTTTTTTTTTATATACCAAAAACAAATAAGAACTTTATTTCTCCAAATAACTTTTAAAACTTCCAAATAGTTTTAACTAATTAGGACATGCAGTCCTAAAAAGTTTTTTTCGCCTTAACTTAGGCTCTTACAACTACTAAACAGAGGTAACAAAGTCCTAATTAGGCTTTATTACGATTTCAACAGTTTTTGAAGAAGATTAAAATTTGGCACCAGACTGTTCCGTACCAATACTCATTTGAAAACGTTATATTTTTATTGTAGGTTTACGACCATGCGACCACGTACATACAGCGAGGACATGTAAGGAAAGTTACCACATACACGCATCACAGGGTTCCCCTTCTCTTACGAGAAAGGGACAAAGAGTTGTCCTCCCTTTTTTTAGAGGGCAGATTTTAAAATATGCCATTTTCTTATTGTAATTGATAAGAAGGCTTATTTCACAAATATGTCTTGAACTGGTTTATAAACGACAATAGTCAGTTTAAGAAGTGTAAACATGCAGTGTTGGTATTACATTGGTCATATTTACACAATTACTTTTGATCTAAGCTCATTTATAGTTTAAACAAATTCTATTGTACAATTTGCAATAGGCCTTTATGCCTATGTAACTGTAGCATGTGCCTTAAAACTTTCATTTGTTATATTTTCAAATGATGAAAAAGTTATCAATGGGATAAGTGCACCGAAGTTACATCACTTTTTAATGACACACAGTAAACTTAATTTCAAATCACTCAGAGTCCATCAATTCAATGCCATTTCACACTATAGGAAAGTATATATAACGAATAACCCTTTGTCTATGACCTTAACAGTGAGTGACATAACAGATTACTTACATACATAGGAAAATTTGGTCGTTCCGAATATTGTCTTGTCCTGTAACTGTGTGTCATTAAAATAGTTTTTTTCGATGCACCGTTCACATAAAAATGTTCCTGTCATCAGAAACCTTTTTACAAATGATAATTTAAAGCCCCAATTGTGGATAAATGTACAATAAGAGTAAAATAAAATAAAATAGTGAGCTTGATATTCTGTCAGAATGTTAGCAAGTTTCAGAGCATTTTCCGTCATCATGGGCAGTTTGGAAAATACGTTTCTGTCTACAACGTCATCGTTTTCACATCGAACGTCTAAATTTCAATGATGCAATCATTACTTGATGTCTCATATGCAAAATATTAACCCAATGTGTCTTTTCTTGAGAATGTTATATAAAACTGTATTCTGATATCGGTAAAATAATAACACATATATTTTTATGTCTTTAATATCGATAAAACCGCAGACAAATATTCTTGCAGGCGAAAGGTCGACACAAAATATATATAAAAAAAATTGATAAATTCGTTTTAGGCGAAAATGAAAAAATTAAAGAGGAATGCGAAATACTAAAAGTATAAAGAAATAATTCAAATTATTACCTTTTTTCTCGATGACTTCTGTGTAAGGCCATATCAGGAGAAAGACTATTTGATGAAAGCCTGTTGGCAGTGAGCCCTTTCTTCATATTCCGTGGTAACTTTTGAGCAAACTTTTGTCTTTCTATTTCATCCTGAACACTTTCAACTTTGGACGGAGATACATCAGAGAACTCAAATTGAGCCGTTTCATTCGTATGATATGGTTTATTGTCAGAGAAAATACTTGATGAACTGCTATAACATGTCTCATTCTGTCTCTCTAGCTTTCGCCTCGCTGTTCCAGCAATAGGTACCGGTGACATGTCGATAGAGTCATATGACGTACACGATTCTCGTGAGAAACGAGATTCTCGGTATAAATTAGAATCTTGAGAAGAAACTGAGTCACGTGATATGCGAGGTTCACATGGATATCCTGAAGCATATTGCTCCCTTTCGCTTGAATGACTGTTGTCTAAATAAAATCCACTGGATTTATTCCTTTTATGAAGATTTTCCTTTGAGCTATTTATAGAAGGCACATCATCAGTTTGATTTTTTGAAATTTCGATGATTGGCATGTTGTCATTTGATTGTTGGTGACGTAATGCGGAATGCTTCTGACGTCTGTGTCTAATTGATTCGACACTATTATTTCTAGAAGCAGGTTTTGATTCACTGTTTGAAGCACCATCTCGTCTATCTAATCTACTTGGGCTTTGTTCTTCGTGACTTGCACTTCTTGGATCACACATATAATCTAAAGAATGTTTCTGTCGGAAAAGTGAACGACTCGAATGTCTTGTTGCACCATCTTCACGATGGCGCACATTTTCCTCAAGACTCATAATTGATGGTGTTCGTTTTGAAGAACGATAACTTTTTGCTTTAACATCAGGTGATCTGTCGCTGTGAGAATAACGATCTTGGTCCGTAGATTGATAATAATCCGTGGAACTGTTTTCTTGTGCGACGACGTCACTTCCGGATACATCTTTCGTTTTCTCATTGTCCGTGTATCCGTCTTTACTACAAGAACTCCATTCAGACATACTCCCACTTCGAAGTCTTAGAAAACATAAAAAAACAATAAGTTCAAATGGTTAAAATACGTGCAAATGCATGTACAGTACATTAAATATTATGTAAGTACAACATATCAATTTTGTTTCTGCATATTCAACGGAGTATTTGAAATAAAACTTCAAGAGTTAGAAAGATATTACGGCTGACAAAATAAAGTGAGACTAAAAATAAGTGTTGGAGGACCACATTAAATACCGTACTCTAGTATATACATGACAAGGCGCTTGGGTGATTAAATGCTAGTCTCGCCTTTTCAAGCGTCGAAATGCACTTCTAATTCATCTATTCGCACAATCTGATTAAAATCAGCTCATAATAAAGCAAAACTTTGACTCATAGGTTGTCACCTTCTCGCGGTCTTTTCAACAACCAATCATTGGCGAGTTTTTATTATTTTGAAAGAAATGAGATTTCTAATTTGTAATTTTAACCCTTGAAAAACCAATACTGAGTAGGTAATTTTCACAATTTCGATTGTCCATATAGCCGACAAATAAACTGGCAAAACAATATTGCCCATTTAAGATTGACTCTGTTATTTCACGTTAATTTTTTAAAAAATTACTTCTTATATATTTTTTTAACAAAAATCAACAATTTGCTTAACTTCCACGGACAACGGTATTTTGATTCTTCTTCTTATGCCTATCTGCAAAAACCGGATTGATTGCATAGCTAAAAAAGCTTTTTCTGGAAATCCGAATTATCAAAAAGGCGATATAAGGTGGTTATCAGATCTACATGAAAAAAAAGTAGATCTGAACTTTAGTTAGATTGTCTGTTCACACTGATTTATATACGATCATGAATGAAAAATGTAAGAATTAAAGAAAAAAAAACACGATATTTTTCTACTTTTTGATCATAATTTAAGCAAGTCTCTAGAGGTTTTGCTCCAACTTAAATCCGACAAAATTACCTCCTTCTGGATCGTTTACTATGCCTTTGCATACGACATAACTGCCGCTCTTTCTGAAACTGTTCTATATTGATTTCATCATCAATTCCGTCATCAATTTCATCATCTACTTCAGACTGAGAGATACTACGGCGCCGTAAACTAAAATGTAATTATAAATGATAAAGAATAAAAGTTACACCAACATCGCTAAAATAAGATAACTGCCAACATCGCGAAATTTGCCGTACGCGAAAATAATCCGGTATATGGTTTTATGATACTACGTATCATAGATAGATTGTCTTCTGTAATAGCAATTATTTATTAATAACTAATAAAATCTAAAAGAAGAAATAAAAACAAATCAAGTTTTATCGAACCTGTAGTCTTACGTTACGAATTAATTATTTTCTGTTGGATTGGTTTGTTATAAATGGAAAATGTTATTGATATCATCAGGATAAAATTTTATTTACAAAATCAAAAATACAATATATTTTGTAGTTTTCTGGAGAATATATTATATTTACCATGATTTGGGAGGCCTTTTGGTTGTTTTTAGTCGTGATGTACCTGAACATTCTTCAGAAAAAACGTCTGATTCCCCCCTGTCCTCGTTCTCCGGCGTCTGATCGGTGGTTGAGAATTGATGCTGACCCTTTAAATAGAAACACCGTTCATTCAACTTATTCCTTTATCAATGTTTGAATAGTTTTCTTTGAATGTGTTAACTTATGATTTAAAATTCATACTTTATATCCGATGAATTATTCTGATTTGAAAATATCTATAATATGGAACTGATACAATTTTATTTCCGTCAATGTTTATTTTTAGTCTAGTATCGGGGGAGGAGGGTTCTGTATGCATGAAAGGTCCCTGAATAATTTATGCAGAATCTGTTAGAGGAATATCTGAACCGTAAAACTATATCGATTGTGATATTTGGTTTTTATTTATGATATGAAATGATACATTATTTTTCATTAAATTTTACAATGCTATACACCTGGCTTGATATATAAAATAAATTGTTAAAAATTTGTTCCTTCTTTTTTAAAAAAATACATTTGGTTTAGTAGAAATATTTCTCTAGATGAATGACTAGCTATGTTTTATTAATCAAATCTATCACGTGTTATTGTATGATTATAAATCTGACAATGCATGTAACCTCTCTCTTTGATTTTGTATTGTGATTTTGTGTTTGTGTTTGAATTTGATTAAAAGTAACTAAAGGTTTGTGATATCTTGGAATAAATGTGTTCTTATTATCATTAACTGAGCTATCCTTGCCATACAGTTTTAATGTTGTTGTTGTTTGTTGTTTTTTTTTGTTAATATTTATTTTGCAGTATTGAGCCCATGAACACCACTGAGATAAATTTTTAATAGCGTGTGAAGACGAAAAAAAGGTTTCAAAAAGGAGTATACTCTGGGATTAAAATGATACAAACCCAGTCCGTGTATTTAGAGTGTTTTTTCTCAAATTAGCTAGTATATACATGTACAGAGAAATGTTTAATGGATTGTATATTATGATACATGTAAAATGCTTGTATAAGAATGACCATTTACATGTACATTGTATTTTAAGTTTTTTTGATTATACTATACATGTACATATTTGATTTATATTTAATACAAAGTTCGGATGCGACTTAAATTTAAAATTTATTTTAATTAAAAAAAGCGAAAGCAAAATTTTAAATTTAAAAAATCAATTATCGCTAAAACACAAAAAATGCAATTTCTTAAAACGAAAATTTAATTTTTTGAAATTTTTTTTCCCAAAAAATTTTTATTCATTTTAAAAAACAAAAAAAAATTAATTAAAAACAGCCCCTTTCCTGGCACCCGGTTTTCCCAATATAAAATGTATGAAAAATAGTCTCGTGGTTTTTATCCACAGTTTTATTGGAAAATTTTTTCTTTATGATTTTTTACATTTTAATTTTTTTAAAAATTTTAACCCTTTGCGAGTCGCGAAAAACATAAGAACAATTAAATTTTTTATAAAATAAATGGGTGATAAAAGGGTGTGATATACCAAAGTGTTTAAAACCCCCGGGGCAAGGGGCCCGCAAATTTTTAGGTTTCAAAAATAGGTTAAATTTATAGAATCTTTTCTTAACAGAAAAGTTATATACATCGTATATGCACACTCATATTCTAAAAATGATATGCGTAGTCCCCACTCCCCACTGTCGCAATGGACACGTAAACAATGTATTTGTATATGGAAAAATGTAGTTTGCATGGATCTTGGTATCACACGCACACACGCACGCACGCACACGCAGACATACATAAAACAGCAACAACAAGAAAGAAAGAAAGAAAGAAAGAAAGAAAGAAAGAAAGAAAGAAAGAAAGAAAAAAAGAATTCGACGATAACAAAGAAACAGTGTCAGCCATGTTAAAAAAATGAAAGTGTAAGTTATTACGTCATTTTCAGAAGAGTCAATTTCAGAGATGCTCAGTTTGGTTTTGAACTTCTGAGATGGTATAACAGGTCCGTCATCTCCATGATACCAGACACCTGTTTTAGCTACGACATCTCTCTTCATCTGACACATGTTACATCGCCATTTACCTTTCACTATCTAAATTACATATTTAAAAAATATTAACTATAGAAACTATTACTAAGTCACATTGATATTTTAAAGATTTAAAGCAGCATGCCTCCAGATTCTTGCCTATTTTCATGTAAAATTTTGAAAATGTATTAAAACGTAAATATTAAGTGGTGAACAAAGAAAGTAATTTTAACATAAAAAAACGGGACTTACAACCTATGTAAATTTCCAAAAAGAGGTCAAAATTTGCAAAGTTAACTCTTACTGAGTTAGTCACGCAGTAGATCTATGTTCATAAGTGCTGAATAATCGACCACTAATCGCACTTAACATTGAAAATTATTAAATTACTTGAATCTTTTTACTTTTCTTAAAATCTCAGTATATTTTTCTCAAGTTTAATTTTCTTGAAATATTTTAGCTCATCTGAGGCACGCAACTTTAACCAAATATGAAATATTTCAAAATTGTTAATTTCTGAAGTGGTCCATTTCCTTGCCCTCTCTCTCTCCCCCCCCCCCGTTCTGGCAACATAACTTTACTTTATAATAAAACAGTCGCATAATTTCCAGTAATAATGTGATTAAGAATTTTGAACATATATGCACGAAAGAGCTTTTGTGATAATCTAAATTAATACTTCCGTTCGCCAAGTTTCTGAATGGACTGGCCTTCCATCATATATCAAAATACTTCTTAATGGTACAAATAACATTTCAAAAATATATCTCAAAGATGAACTCGCTGTGAATTATAAACTAAAACATATTCTTTTAACTAATTTAATATCATATTATAAAATGCGTTATTTGTCAGTATCGAAGTTACTTATAATACACCAAAATAACATGATTTACCTTATTTTTCTTTGCACTCCATGTTGATTGTGAGAAGGAGCCGCATTTATTACAAACACGTTTGTGACAGTCGGAGCAAGCTTTCCCGATACCGTCAGCAAACTTGGTTTTGAAGCAGAGTCTACAAAGGCGAAGGTCAACATTCTTAAACTTGCTTTTCTGACTCGCATGTCTTTTAACCTCGTCTTCGTAAGTTATCAAATGTTCACGAAGCCGTCTGAAATATGTAAGTGTTTGTATTTTATGTTTCAGATAATTTTAACAATTATGTAACAAACAAATTAAATGTAATGTCCCTGTCTCACTATTCACCTGTCGCTCTGTAACCTCTACGTGTATACTGGCAATGCTACTGCATTGCTTTGGCGATGCTTGGGACATCTTAAATAACTGCTCATACCTCAGCTTTATGCTTTTATTAAGAGGTCCTGGTGTGACATGGGTTTTAGTAAACTGGATTGTTTTTCAATAGATTTAGATTAAAATTAAATACCTGCATTTGTTAAAGTTATGTCTGTAACTGGAATATGACATAACATTAGTCATGATAATCAGCTCTGAAAGCTCTCCTTATATTTACCTTTTTGAAATTACGCTTCTAAATAATCTTGGTCACCTTTTATGTTCAAAACTATTATGATAACCAGGACAAAGACACCATTTAGTTTTTCAAATTTTTTATGTTTTGATAAAAACGTTCTTCAGCCAGTGAAATAATTTAAGAAATTCCTAATGATTTCACCACAGTTCCTTGCACTAGCATCTTATTATTTAAAACTCCATTTTCTCATTAAAGGTCCATTAAATACGTGTCTTCTATGTAACACCATCACGCAATTGTCGTGATATAATGGTTATTTTATAGCCGGTTTAACGATAAAAGCATGCTGAATCTGTCACATATGCCGACGATCATCCCGTTAAAACAGATAACAAGTAATACGTTATTACGTCTACAGAAACTTAAATTTCCCAAGGAACAAGAATATACGGTTTTTATGGTGGAGTTTTATGGTCAAAGTCTTATCTTGATACTCCATACCTAAGATCTATATAATGTCTTAGTGCTTAAGAAATAGCTAATCTATACTTAGAACATGAAAAACGTTTGTTATGAATAGTCAAATCTGTAAGAAAAAAAATTACATCTAACTGGCAAGTGTAAGCATAAATGAGCCGCACAATGACAAAACCAACATAGTGCGTTTGCGGCCAGCATGGATCCAGACCAGCCTGCGCATCCGCGCAGTCTGATCAGGATCCATGTTGTTCGCTTACAAACCTTATAACAAGTAGATAAACTGATAGCGAGCAGCATGGATCCTGATCAGACTGCGCGGATGCGCAGGCTGGTCTGAATCCATGCTGGTCGCAAACGCACTATGTTGGTTTTGTCATGGAGCGGCTCAAATGTTTCAGTTCACGCAAGGACCAACATTTATTTGACCCTTGAGCACTCCTGTATTATCAATAAATATCAAGATTGATCTTGAAGCTTTGCTAAAATGTTTGAAGCATACATCAATAATAGATTGATTTACCTAAACTTTGCAATCCAGGATAACTTCGTTTAATTTACGAGATTTGATATATTCTGCTGGCTCTAAGTTCATTTCCCTAGGTATATTCCCCGTGGTTGAATACTAGCAGATTTAATTTGCCTTCACACAATTGTCTACTTGTTGCAACGTTCAATAATAATACACAAACCAAATACCGGGTATATTCAAGACTAATATGTTTTTGTGTAAGAAAAAAGGTAATTCGTATTCCTTATACATGTATTTTTCTTGAATTCAGCTTGAAAGGATCCTGAATTGTTTTACAAACTGACCAGTATGGCAATATACCGAACAACAGCTTTTTAAAAGGCCCATTATGCCTCAGAACCATCCTTTTCTTCTGTTGCTTTTTGTCAATAACTACAGTTATAGTGATTAAGTATCTTGTATCGAAGTAAAAATACTATACTTTGTTTAGATTTGTTACTTTTTTGACCAATAGTTTCACATTCTGTGCTACTTTTTTCAAGTGATATACATCTTACATGTTCTTAAACCTTTACCTTATCATTATAAAACTTAAATTTGCCCTTTTTAGAGAAGGAAATATATTTCGTTTCTCAGACAAAATGTGCCTTAAAATGTTGCATCTTAAATATTACCAGTTCGAGCTCATATTAAGTTATTTTTTCATTAATGTTCTATTTCCTGTACCTACAATGTAAAGAAGAAAGAATCAATCATTCTTATGTCGGGTAGTCTAAGGATCTCAATGTCAAAAATCTGTCTGAGAAGAAGAGATCCCTTGAGTGAAATGACGTTAGAAATCGCAAAAATGTAAACTTTCAAAACAACACAGTCTACAAGTTTTGACTTTAATGTCTTCTTCAGAAAATAAAAGGATATAAAAATAAATGAAACCCGAATGAAATAATTGAAAAAAACTCAGACTCGGTTTTATTTTGTTTGTTTATAATGAAATTATAATGGGAAGTACAATATATCTGACGCCCCCTCCCAAGCACCGGCTTATGCAATATAAAAAAGTTCATCTATCACGATAAAAGGTAAATAACTCAAATAGTCACACCTCTCATAAATTGATCAAACTTTGATATTTCAAAGCGACTCCATTTAGCTTTTTCGCACGACGGTAATGGAAATAGTTTTTCGAGATTAATGTTCCATTTGATGTTGGTTTAGACCAATAACTTGTGTACACAATTTCAGATTATTCGCTTTTTCCGTTTTTATAATAATTTTCATTGTGAAGAATGACCAAAAGTTGAAAAGCATTGCAACGCTTTTCACTCAAATTGGGCTTTAATAGCACAGAAAAACGTTTTTTTTTTAAAATTTAATGCCCCCCATAATTCATAGTTTTCCTAATTATCCTTTGCACATCTTTTTGTTTTAAGTGCCCAAACTGATTTATTATTTTACTATAATATTTTACACTTGCTATTTCAAAACTAATTCGTTTATAAATGAAATAATGAAATCATTCGATCAGGCGATAATTTGACAGTCGATTTGACTGTCTATGGATATGGATAATACTCTCAGACATTTGAGCCGTGTCACGACAAAATCAACGTAATGCGTTTGCGACCAGCATGGATCCAGACCACCCTGCACATCCGCGCAGTATGATCAGGATCCATGCTGTTCGCTTACAAACCCTATTACAAGTAGAGAAACTGACAGCGAACATCATGGATCCTGATCAGACCTCGCGGAGGCGCAGGCTGGTCTGGATCCATGCTGGTCGCAAACCCACTATGTTGGTTTTGTCGTGACGCGGCTCATTTAAATTTTAAACGACGTCTTTAATAGAACTTTAATTACGAAAATAGTATAAGGTCATTTAGAAGATAGTGAAAGCAAGCAACATATTATAGGGTTGATTTAACAATATTCAAGATGATAAATTTGGTGGAATTGAACAAAATTAAAGTAAAACGAACACGACAAGAAAATCGTTCAGTATGCATTTCTATTAATTTTATATAATGTGATATTGGCGATTACAAGTGAATACTTAAAAAAGAACTTAAATGTCCTTAAATTGTGCATTTGTTAGTGTTAATATATTGGGATCGCCAAAAACCATGCAACAAGTACACGTGCACAAAGTTCTGTACAGTGCTTGAAATATCTGTGCCAAAATAAATATCAATATTCTCGAAATAGGGGATCCCTAAAGGTCAATGTAACAAAATTAATTAGGTGGATATTGTAGACTTGGTATGATTTAGTCATGAGAGATGATGCAATGTGCTATATTCCTAACGCCCCCTAGCACCGGCTACTAAAGTGTACAGTTGAATTGACTCTGTTCATGAGATGGATGGATACAGATGGAAAGTACACACACTTTATTTTAGCACGTTTCAACATGTACAAATTAAATGTGTATTTGAGTCAAAATGTAAGCCAATTTAACGAAAGGTAGAAACTAAAACTCAGCAATTTATTCGGTCGGAAATTGGCATAGAATTTACACTCTCAAAAGAAAAGATAAGGTTTAGAATAATTGTTTTATAACTGTGATACCTTACTGCCAATTAATACTATTTCACCATTAAATGCTATCGTTGATAATATGGAATTAGCGCGACGGCAAAGTACAAGAACGAAAGTTGGCAAGTGTGGTGTTAATATGTATGGAATATCTGTACAAAAATGACCTTTTAAAATACATAAGTAGATAGCCAACCTAAAAAGGCAACCATTCGTCTTAAACACAAAAATATGTAACAAAAGTCCTATCGCATACTGTATAATGTCTGCAGTGCTTTCCAGTCTATAATTTCTTAATCACCAATAAGACAAGTTAATCAATAAAACGCATTAATTGTGCGATGGTGTGTCAGTTTAACAATCAGATAACGGAAACCATTTCCTGATAGGGATAATGTACAATTCTTTTATGAACAGCGCACCTGTCAGAAGAACACTATTATGACAAACTACAAGAGAATGCATTACCAATAGCTTTAATTGGCTTCATTGCGCATGCTCGACATACTGACATTTTAATGTTACTTTATTTGCGTTATTTAACCATTTGCTGTCTTTTAACTGCAAATTTGTTTACACCGAACCTTATTGAAGTAAACGTACTTCACTATAATATAAACATCTAAACTTTATTTTGAGCAATTAACATGTAAAAATACAAGTTTGAAATAATTATTATAACTATAGGATTTTGTTATTTATGTTTTGTAGATTGTTAGTGTCCGCCATGGTCTCGTCTTAAAAACTTAAAATCATGATGACATTCAGAGGAATTTCTTTTTTTACTGAAATCTCTTGTTGCAATCATTTTCTTACACTAGTTCTATAGAAAATTTACCGCGATTGTGTATCTTTATTTAAAGTGTAACCTTGCCCAATAATTAACGTTTATAGAGTAATGACTGACTAAAAATACAAACTTGTTCATAAGGAGTGTCGAAACGAATGGAAACAAAAAGAAACGAACAGAAATTAATAGAAAGTTAGAAAGTAGGACAGCTGATGTGCTGCTGAATTAATTGTTCAGAAAAAAAACAATTTGTTACATAATAAAATTATTTAGATTGCAAGCAGACTAATTAGTCAGTTACAAGTATATTTATCAGAGACCAGCATTGTGAAAAACATTGTTGTATCTATCCTACAAAGAAAAGCCAATACTGAGAAATTAACATGACAATTTCTATTTATA